GCTGTGGAACGCCGCAATGGACAGTCTCTCCTTCACAGGATTCACCACTGCCCTGTGCTCTATGCTCTTGTATTCTCCGTTGCTCATGATCTGTCATCCATGCATACTCCACGTTATTATCGAAATGAATCGATTTTGAGTATGTCAAGGAATATTTAGCTGCTGCAATTGACCCTATTATTACCTCTATGATGTCACCGACATTAACGATGAATGCACCTGGAATGGGATGAATGGGAATCCATTTCCCATCTCTCCTGATTTGCAGACCTAGCTTGTACTTCATTCACTTGAGTCAGTAGAGTCAATCTAGTGCCGTCGGAATTTGGGGCGAGGCCAATGACCTTGGTAGCGAGCTCACATGGCGGATAGTAGTTGATTCTCATACCTTGCATACCTTCTTTGAACAAAGTGAGTAGCTTTTCTGGATCGAGTCCGAGGTTCTTAGCCATGGAACTCAACAAGCTACTAGCCAGCTTTTCCAGCTCTGTTGAATACTGGTCCATAGTTTCCCTGTGGCAAAACCGGAACTTTTTGTTAATGGGTGGTAGAGATGGAAAATTTGCCTGCAGGCAAACAAATTATTAATTTGGTTAACTCAATTTTTTTTTATTATTAATTTGGTATATTTGTCGATTAGACGATCGAGTTTGGGTCCTAATTAAGTAGTTCAAACAATGTTTATGAAGCCATATATAAGATTTAATGTTCACATTTTAAGGTTTAATGAAAAAAAGAGTTGTTAATAATCATGACAAGAATATACTATATGATCCAGTTCATACGATCGACTTGATTTATCAAACAATGGTTGAAACTATTCATGTTGGGTTTCATATATATCAAGAACACACCAGGCTTATTTTTGGTTTCATGAGACACTTTCAATTGGTTAATTTAGCAAGTCAAGTTAAAATTTAAGAGTAAACACATGCATATCCATTTGGCAGAGGGAACGAACCTAAAAGAAGAGGGAATTCTTGGCCAAAACTTCATTCTTCTGCCATCTACAGGTCGTGTAAGGATGAAGAGCATGTCACCCCAATCAAGCTTTTGTTCTTCCGATACAACGAAAGTTTGGCCATATTCTTCAATGTCATTTGGTAGTTGGGCACATACCATTTTCTCTTGCAATGGTTGGTTGAAGAATTCCTGAACATCTACTTTCATTTTCAGAATCAACTCTTCTGCAACTCCATGATTGATCACCTGATTTTTTAACATGATATCAATTTCTCTTTTTGATCAAATTTAGGATCTATTTGCATGACAAGTCTCTAAAATGATGATGACATATTATTCATGAAATCCACAATAAAAATGGAAAAACTAAGATAGACAGAAAAATATACATCATACTATAGGAATGGCAATAAGGCATGTGGGAGGGTTCTCAATACGGATGCCCGTCAGTCACGTGCTAAGTGCATATCAATCTGACCTAACTAGTTATTGTGCCATTATAAACTTTTATTATAGTAACATTGGGGAAACATTTTTAAACCTAAAATGAAAATAATTTGGGAAATATAGGTGTACACAAAGATGAAACCACCTTATCTATCGAGGATTCAATATAGTATAAATATGTGCTTAATTTAGAATTGATCTAGAATTGGTGAAAAACATGATAAAACAAAGCACGGGTAAAACTCACACCTCACCCCACGCTACTCGTGCGACAAATGTTATCCGTACAAAACAAATAGACACGTATTAAATCACTCCGAAAATATCAAAATTTTCAACACTGAACACAAAATCATCACCACATGGTACCTGTCGCAACTGCACCTCCGAAATCGGGGTACCCGTCACGAATTGCTCGGAGTCGCCATCGATCATATTTTGTGGTGGATCGAACACCATTTGACTCTATTTCAACCATGGAGTCGAAACCGGGATTTGGTCTGCGAATTTTTGAGTTGGGTTCGGGAGTACGGTTACGTGTGGGGAAGTGTATTCACACCCCACAACGCCCAAAATTGGTACTACTTAAATCGATAAGTTTTTAAGGGTTAGGTGTATTATAATTTGTGCCTTATTTACATATTTAATTAATTGATTTGATTAATTACATGTTTGTTATTAATAGTTGATCATACGTCTATTAACGTAATTCTCAAAATTAAAGAAAGAGTTTTTAGATTAGTTGGACTCGAACCTATTGGTTGCCTACGTACCCGAGTAGTCGGGATCAAAGTCCACGTAGTTCGATCGGACTTTGAAAATTTTAAATAAAGTTATTACCACATTCCACTAACCGTGGTTCTCGTATCAAAATTTATTGTTAGTAAAATTTAATTTGATTATTATGAAATTATGAAAAGAGAATATAATGATTTAAGTTATTAGGAAGAGGCTTGACTCGTATTGGAAAAGAAACGGGGTAAACTTAATCCGCATTTAACAATTCGTATTAAGGATTTTAAATGAATAAAAGTATACGGGATTATAAAATTATCGCATGAGGGCCAGCAGCCCAACTGGCTTAAACGCCAGATCAAATTCGCGTTTGACAGAGGGAACAAGGGTTCGAAACGCGCTAACTACAAATTTTTTTTCTCTTTTTAGAGCAGAGAAGGGGGAAGGGTATTGTGGTAATTACCCAAAAACGCTGTGGCACAGCCGCGTTAATATTTGGAAACCCTAAGGGCAGTTTTTTCATTTCACACTAAGGGGTATATATTCATCTTTTAGGTCGAAAAAATCAACCCTATTCGACCTAGCGGCCGCCGCTCTCTACCAACACTCTCGCCTCTCTCTCTCTCTCTCTCTCTCTCTCTCTCTCTCGTTTTTTCATCTGCAGAAAGAACACAAAAAAAACCAACACTCTCCTCCCCTCCCTCGTCTCTCTCTCATTCTCTTGCTCTCGCCTCTCTTCTTCGAACCAAAACCCCTCTGGGTTTTCACCGCCGCCAGCCTCTTCTTCTTCCTTCCCTTCCCCGATCAAAAATGCCGCCGCTCTCCTCTCTGCGAAAACCTAACCGCCGCCGCTCTCCCTCTCTATCTCGCCTCTCTCTCACCTCTAAAAACCCAAAAAAAACCTAGCCTAAACACACCCCAAATGGTCGCCGTTGCTCTCTTTCTCGGCTGGCCAAGGGAATCGCTCGCATCAAGTTAAATCGACCTAGAAGGTCTCGATCTAGGTAAGATCCTAGACATGCATGCTCTTTTTTAATTCGTTTTAGGCGATTTCTGTTTTTATTTGGGTTTTGGGGGAGTTCGGGTTCTCACCGTTCTTCTTTTTCTGGGTTTTGAGGGTCGGATCTGGGCGAAGGACGAAGACCGGCGGCGAGTTGCCGACGGCGACAGGCCGACGACAACACAGGTAGATTTTTTTTATTTTGTTATATATTTTTTATTTTTGATTTGAGATTCTGATATTTTTTTATTTTTCTAATTTTTATTTCGGATTTCTACTAATTTTCTGGGTTTTTGGTTTCGGACGAAAGGAGAAGGGAACGGCTCGGCGAGTCGCCGGCGGCGACAGGCCGACGACGACACAGGTAGGCTTCTTTTTGTTTTGGTAATTTTTATTTTTGGTTTATGAACCCTTTAATCGACCCTGACTTCTATTTTTGTTTTGAAGCAGGTCTTAAGACGAAATTGATTAGGTGAGGTTCCCTAAATTTGATTGGTGATTATTTTGTGAATCTGGAAATGATTCACAGATCTGGTATTTTGGAAAAATGTTTGTGTATTTGGCGACTTTTGGGACTTAGGGGGTTGGGGATGGTGTGTTGATTTTGTTGTTCTATTACATTTCCAATATGCATGATATATTTTTATGTATGTGCAAAAATAATGCTAGAATTGAAATATGACATATATGAAATAAATAATAAATAAAAAAAAGTATAAGTAGCATAATAAATAAATAGTAATTAGTTTAATGTTAAAGGTAAAGATAGTAATAAGTTATTATGAGTAATTAGTTAGTAAAGTAAATGTGCTTGAAATAGGTAGATAAATGGATTGAAAATGAAACAAAGCTAAAAGGAAGAGCTGAGCCTGATAATGTAAATGAGATTGGTAAAGTTTGGATTGATTTAAGTTGTGATTTCTCTTCTAAAGACAGTTTGGTCTTGTTGTAGTTTGAGTTGATTGATTTTTAAAAGCATTGTGAAGAAAGATAAAAGAAAGAGATGCTAATAATGACAATATTAGAATGGTATTGACAAAAAGAGAAGAGTAGTAGAGAAGAGAAAAGAATAAATCAACAGCATATTATTATAACTGGAATGTGAATATGGTTTTGCTCAATACAAACCTCTTCTGTTTGGCTAGAGGCTTTCTATTTGACAGAATGAAGAAAGGAAAAAGAAAGAGTGTTTGCGTTTCTCTTTTATTTTCCCCAGCACTTCCCCTCCCTCTAAACTGACTAAGAAGCCAACAAAATCTCTGAAATGACTGAGAGAGAATTGACAGTGTTTTTCCCCCTCCTCCAAAAGCTGTCCCCCCTTCTCTTGAAAGTTGGGCCTCCATTTATAGAAAAATGAGGCGGTGGTGTCTGGGTTTGGCCAGACCACTTCTGGTTCGGCCGGTCCGTTGGTCGGTTGGAGTGGTTGGGCCAACTTGGGTCGCTGGCATTGGGCCATGCATTTGGACTTGACCATCATTAACCTTGGGCTGGGTTTTAGGACCTAAATTTCAGACTGGAAATCTGGGCTTGAACTGTGGGCTTGTCTTAATCTTGGCCTGATCTGACTTGGCTCCTTTCTTGTTGTTTGGCAGGTCCATTGCTAGTTTCAAAAAGAGAGGGAAGAAACTTGCATTGATTGCGATTTTCATGTAATAATTGTGATTTAGTTCTGATTGTAAATTGTGATTTGGTAATAATTTTAATAAAATGTGCTACTTATTCTTAATTTTTTTTGTCTTGTGCCAAAAGCATAAATTGGTAGCCAATCGATCCTATTAGATCCACTGGAACCGAATTCGAATAAATTATACAATCGTCGATATTTTAGACTCGCAATGGCCAATCTAATTATCTTATGACATTTAAAGATTAATTAGAATTTATAGTTGAGTAATTGACCCGGACAAAATGGGGTGTCTACAGTACCCTGGTGTCAACACTAAATAATACCATCTAATTACCATCAAGACTTTAAACTTGGTCTGTTCAGCATACCCTTTTATTTTGGCTGTGAAAAGCCAAAATCAAAGATGGAATCCGCCACAACAATTACCCATGAAATTTAAACCATGTTCCACATATATATAAAATCCATCATTCAAGAACTGAGTTGCTATGGAAAAGTATCAACGATTTTGGCTAGCGAGTCATACCTGAAAGAATCCCCAATTTTTGCAGGCCGAGTGCAACTTAGCCGATTCGTCATCATCAAGACCACCACCTATCAATCACTGGTATCTGAGAGTAATCATCATTGGAAACTTGATCGAGCTCGAGTTCAGGACGTATGTATCTGATCGGCACGTCCTTGGAGCTGGAAGCCAGCTGCTGAACGTTAGGAACTGCAAGAGAACCTCCAGCCTCCGATCCCGACATTTCTAACAACACTCTTCTTCCTCCTCTTCCTCTTGAGCTTAGTCGTCGTCGTATCCAGTTGCAGGCTTTCGTTGTTAGCTCAATAAATAGGGAAAGAATCGAGTTATTAAATGATGGTTGGGTAATGGGTATGTAGCTGTTCCTCCTTGAAAAACATGCACATGTGTTAACTATTTTTTATTTTATTTTTGAAACTATTAACTACAATGTCAACTTCTCGATATTTGCTATTGATTAACCGGTAATACTGCCTGGCGCGTGTTAATTAAATAAATACTATTCATTCACTTGTATAAACATCCGGCAGGGGCATGGCTGTTAAAATATAAACACCTCCATCTACACAAAAGTATTTTAAGTAATATACCTTTGAATGTCGCGTGTTAATTAAATATATAACTATGGCTTGTTTTCATGACAACTTGAAACGAAACAATGTGTTTTGTATAGATATAGTAGAACTCAATTTGGAATTCGGAATCCGAATCGAAAGGATGTGAATGATTGCCTTACGAATGAGGCTGAGTAATGTTTTTCCGTCAGTAACACTGCAACAGTCAGTCCGTCCCTGTTATTTCTCGTCAGGGGAGGTTTGGATTCTGCGGTTGTTGAAATGGTCGAGACGATCTGACTCTTCCACCGGTAAGCCAAAAAAAATCTCATCTTTCTGATCCAATGTAAGGTTACCTTGTGTTGTAAGGCAAAATACAATGTAGATTCATTTGGTAAATACAAACAACGACCTCAACCTACATGAACCAACCAAACTGCACTTAAACATCTGCTACAGCCTGCAGCAAACTACATACATCAAACAAACAACACAGCAGTAGTCTACTAATTGCTTGACCACATTCGACTAGCAATTGCTCAAAGCTTTACCATCTGAAATTTGTCACTTAAGCTGCAAAAATCTAGCTCTGCTTTTGCACTCGCTTGTCCCTAATCGGCAACTCAGCTGGCATTTGTGCCTCATGAGGATGGTCCGGGCCCTTGTAAACTTTAAGGTGGTTGAACAATGCTCTGCCAAGCTGCAAGAATACACCAAGCTGAGCAGTATTGCTTAAACGTATATACCATCTTCAAAAGAACTCTGCAACTCTAGAACGCCAATATTAAGTTGTTCAATATAATTTTCTTTTCTTTTCATCTGTTGAAAACTGCAACACTTACCCTTCCTTTAGGAAGCATCCCACGAACAGCATGTTCAATGATCCTCTCAGGAATCCTCTGTTGCAGCTGATCAAATGTCTCTATCTTCATACCACCTGGTCTTCCAGAGTGCCGCCTATATAACTTTTGGGTTCTCTTCTTCCCTGATACAGCAACTTTCTCTGCATTTACCTTGACGCAGCCAAAGGTATATTACGTCAGTTAAAAATATCACCAGATAGTGGAATCAATGTCACAGCAACGTGAAGTCTGTTCATGGAAAAGATTAAATAATAATAAGGTTTCGGGAAGCAGATTGCACGGAACTAATCATCCCTAAGCTTTTCAAGTCTGGTAGATTGTAAGAATCATTAGCATAACATCGCCACGCTAACCAGAATAAGTATGAACTTTCATCAAACTGGTCACTCAAGTTGAACTCATTTATTACCTACAGGGTATTCTTAACCTCAAACAAATTTGATCAATGAGATAGAGGTCCTCACTACCAAACATGCAACTCCAACCACATGGCTTCTAAAAGAAGATATGACAGTCAATTTATAGCCTCACAATAGTAAATGTACTTTAGCTCTATCGAGAGGTAGTTCATCCCAATAACCGAGCAACTGAGAGAGGTCCGAAAGCGTTAAACATGGCTAAGAAAGTAATTCATACCACAATGACGAATGCGCCCATATCCACACTAGGAGTGTAGGTGGCCAAATTCTTGCCACGGATTTGAACAGCAATGGTCGATGCCAACCTTCCCAAAATCTTGTCAGTGGCATCCACAACGAACCATGGCTTCTCTGTATTCACATGATCAGCTGCTTTTGGGTACCAAGTCGTGTTCCAAATGTCCTTTGCCAAACCAACCAACCAAAACCAGGCAAATGAAACCAATCTTTCTAACTACCGAAAGAAACAAAGAGAACCCAAAATTTTCAAACTGTCCACCATCGAAAACAGCAAAGATAGTGAATTGAATTTTCTTACAGGACCGTCGAGTTCAGATTCTTCGAACATCCAGCGTTGGTCGAGTGGGATATGAGGGGGTTTCTCCTTTCTCTCCTTGCTCTCCTCCTTCTCCTCTTCCTTCAACGCCATTCTGAAATCCCTAAAATCCCTCGTCGTCTTGTAATCCATGTTGAAAGCACTCTTCTGGGAAGCAACAACGACCAATGACGACGTCCGCCGATGCTGCGACGACCTTTTCGATGGCGGAACAGAGAATCCGACCACAAAGGGGCTGCTGCTGTTACAGCTGCAAATGCTGCTAGGATTTACCCACGAAGAAGAAGATGGTGATGGTAAAACAATGGCGGAGGAGCCATGTAGCTGCATCGCCATGGTTTCTTCCTGCTGGGGTGAGTTTCCTTCCTTCCTTCCCTGTTCACCTCACTATCCCAAAAAATTTCGCTGTCTTCCTTCGCTATATATTTCCTGGTTCGTCTCTCTATCCTTTCTGCTCAATAGAACCGGATAAGATTGAACTGCTTGAAAAAAAAGGCTCATTCCTTCTCAACAGGCTTGGGCTTAACTCCGCGAGGATTGTCGTTTGTCCTAAAAGCCCATTAATATTGTGCTTCCCAATTTGTTGAGTGAAGAAGCCCGTGATCGGTAGTGTCATCTGCCCTGGCCCAGATTCGCCCGATTTAGTTTTATTTTTTATGGAGTTCTTTTAACTCGTTGTGTTGTGATTGATTTGAGAATTATAATCGGATTAAACGTGAAATTAGTCTTACAATTTAAATTGATAAATTAGTTGTGTTGTAATTGATTTGATGATTATATGCCCCATATTTATCTTACTTGAATCTTTAGTTTTACGAAGGTCCATTGAATTGTAAGCTTCGTAAAGGTCGAAAATTTGAATCCAAAACCTTGCTATTTATGGAGCATGCCCCTTTTTGGATCTTTAGATATAAATAATATACCCAAACCAAAGTGAAACAAAGGGCCCATCTCAGCAAAGAGCGGAAGCTCGAGCGGCGAGCAGTTTGCTTGCATTGCTTTGCTGCTTCCGTTGCCGCACAGCGGCACAACCAACGTTTCTGCTGGCAGAAATCCAAATAAGAATGGCGCAGTCAACTCTTTTACTCTTGCACATCAATCGCTCTTCTTCCCCATCCATTTTCCATCATTCCCAATCTCCTAAACTTTCGCCCCAACCCGCCAAAACCCTCTCAGTCCCTCGCTTGTTAACCGCGCGAAAGCAGCGATTCAGCTCTAGAATGGATCATCTTCACCCGCCTCATTCATTGCAAGGGGTCGTATCGGAGGCCATCGGGTTGCTACAGTCGCCTGACCCGACCTGGCAATCCGCTCTCCTCAACAATCTGCTGATCTTCGTGCTCGGGTCGCCGATTCTGGTTTCGGGGCTTTCCTTTCCGGGAATTTCCGCCGCTTTCGTGCTCGGAACCCTCACTTGGCGCGCTTTCGGCCCCTCTGGATTCCTCCTCGTCGCCGCTTACTTCGTCATAGTGAGTCAAAACCACCAAAACCCCGTTGATTAGTGGAAATTTTCCCGGGAAATCTCTGGGCTATTTGGGTTTCAAGATTTAGGTGAAAGGTTTCGTTTTTATGATGTGGGCATTTCTCTTGTTTTAATGGGTGGGATAGGGTTGTGCTGTTGTTCGGTTCACAGGGGACTGGAGTTACGAAAGTGAAAATGGCGCAGAAGGAAGCTCAGGGTGTTGCTGAGAAGAGGAAAGGGAGAAGGGGACCTGGCAGTGTGATTGGTTCAAGCGCTGCTGCTTGTGTCTGTGCCTTCATGTCCATATATGGAATTGGGGGAGTGGAAGTTGCTCAACTTTGGCAGCTTGGATTCGTTGCTAGCTTCTGTACCAAGTTGAATGACACCGTCTCTAGTGAGATAGGGAAGGCTTATGGCAAAACTACGTAAGTAATGACCTATGATATAGTGAGAAATTGTTCAGTTGATTTCTATTTTGGTAGGCTCAAGGTTGCATCTTGTCTGGCAGAATTTCGGACTAACATATTTAGACTTGTTAGATACAAATAAGTTAGCTATACCAAGGATAATATCGATGTGGCATCCAACAAGATGAAATTTTTCCTTAGAATTGTTATCTATGTAATATGTCTGCTGTTATATTGGAAATTTTTGTCATCCGCTGAGGATGTGTTTATCTAGTTCTGCAACTTGTTCTTTTAGGTGGAGCCATCTTACTGTGATGCCTTTGTTTGGCTCCATTGTGCCCGTAGTTAATTCTGATTAATTGTGGTGGTATGGGCAGGTACCTTGTTACGACATTCAAGGTTGTTCCTAGGGGAACTGAAGGTGCTGTGAGTATTGAGGGAACTTTGGCTGGTTTCCTTGCTGCAGTGGTTCTTGCTTCGATTGGTTGTCTTATGGGTCAGGTACTGTTCACCTGCCTAAACTTCTCCCCTACCAAACATTAAACAAGTTTATGTTCTGGTTTTGTAATTGAATCACAGATAACAAACCAAAGAATGTTAGCATAACTGCATGTCATAACTATCAATAGGTACTGTTAAGTGTTTACTCATACCCTTCCCAATCAACCAATTTGAACCTGTGTAGCCCTAATATGGCATAAGCCATAAGCACATATCCTCGTCCTTCTCAAATTGTGTTTCGAGTGTAAAATATCAATAGGTACTGTAAGTGTTTACTCAAACCCTTCCCAATCAACCAAATTGAACCGGTGTACCCCTAATATGGCAGAAGCACATATCCTCATCCTTCACAAATCGTGTTTCGATCGTCTTCCATTTAGGGGCCATTTAAACTTCAAGTGTTCTTGTAGTGAGTAGGATGAAGTGGAGAAGCTCATGTGAACTTCAATGAGATATCATGTTAACCATTAACTGTAAGTAAAGCAGCACCGTTAATGGATGAGACAACTACCAAAAGTAGTTAAATGTGGATGTAAGGGAAACCTGAGGATAATAGGAGTGGGAATGACAAGATCGATTAGAGGATTACTTAGATCGAGTGGAAAGGTGGGGTTATGATATCCAGCTATTAGGTCTCCAATTATCTTAGAATTACTTCAAGAATAATCTTCTCCGGGATCATTAGTTACTTCATTACCTGTCAAGCTCTGTCTTCCTCATCTGTTTTATCAAGCTTCCTTTGCAAAGATCTCTCAGTTGTTTCCCTAATCTTTTGTACTTAAAAGCAGATAAATGGAGCTGAAGCACTCATATGTGTGGTAGCCTCCCAAATCGCAAACTTTGGTGAGAGCATAATAGGTGCTGTCTTTCAAGATAAGGAAGGATATCAATGGGTGAGTAACTCAAACCATTCTGCACAATTCGTCATTATTTCTCTCATACCAGCATGTTGCTTGGCCTTGTCTAATGACTCTAGGTGCAATAATTCGTTAGGATTGGCTTCCGAATACCCTGATCTTTATATGCTGTACTTTTCTTGTTTGGGCAGCTTAACAATGATGTGGTGAATGTGATTAACATATCGATTGGGAGCATACTAGCAGTTTTAATGCAGCAAGCATTGCTCCAAAACTGGCAAACATCGTGAACTTGTTTTCACCACCAATCGTTCCTCCTATCTCCTTGGATGCCTGGAAAGTGCTCCGCTAGTTTGCTTGTGCAGGAAGGTAATGGAGTATAGCCCCATTGAGTGAATGCGTTGACAATTTATTAGCTGGGTTGTTGTTGATTGGAACTAGACGGCAAGAATGGCGGACAGGGCCCAGAAGTGACGTTTATCAAACTAGTGAGTGATGCGTGAGAGAGAGAGAGAGAGCATTAGACGTCGCATGGCATGCATGGTTATTGTCAATCATGCTGGCAATTGGCAAATGAGAATCCTTTCACTTGCAGGATTGTCTTTTTGGGTGGATGGAGAATCTATCATTTTCTTTCTCGACTAGACTACTATGATATGGCTTTCCAAAAACGAACAGTCAATTCACTCTCTTTCAAAAGTTGATGATTCTGAATGAATGGTACTTAGCTTGTAGTTTCAGTATGAGCATTGTTGTACCAATCCTATCCCTTCACATCATTGCTTCAACGAGTTTTGATTTATGTTTGGTAAGAGAGAATTTTAGTCGAACCACATATGTAAAAAGTTAGTCTTGCCGCTCAACTCGACTCTTAAATTTCATATTCTCCATGCCAACTCTCCAATTTCTTCTTTTACATTCATTCCCCGATATGATATCGGTCCCCTATCATAAAGCTAACAAGTTACAGCCAATCCTCTCACCCATTCCTCCACAATGCCATAAAGATTCAGTCGTTCCCAACCAAGAATGTTGTCAGTTGTCACCATTATTGATTGATTGGTTGATTGATTCCCTATACTATACATGTTCCTTTCCCCATTACATTCGTACACTCGCCCAAAAGTAATCATGAAACCAGAAAAAGGGTCATTTACATAAACGCCACTAAATTTGTCTGGATAGTTCAGATCGACATAATAACTCATCGAAATTAATAATAATAAGAAGTGGTATATAAATCCTGTGACTGTGAGTACAAATTGTTAAAATGAATAGTCTAGGTAATCTATAAGTTAGCTAGTTAGAGTTTGTACAACGTTTTAAAATCGTCAATGACAAGTTTGTTAGCAATCCCAAAATTGGCATACTAATATAGGAAGACTCTACAGCCCGAGGGTTACTTCGTTTGCTACGAGAGGAGGTAATGAATGAAAGTGATCCTCAGCATAATAAATGATCAATTAACTACAATGAGCTAACTACAATGGTCACCACTTAAAGCAACCAAGGTTAGTTTTGTTACATGGGAAAACTTAAGTAACTTTTCCCAACTAAATGACAAGATTACCGACTTAATCTTGTTCTAATTGAAGTAGTTAGCGTCCAAGTTCTTCTAAGTTCTAACCATTGGTATGTGGATTGATATCTTGCCTATATCACTTCCCCTTTCGTCTTCTTATGGGTGGTTGGACCCAAACATCCTGTTGTCGAATTTGGAAAGATAGATGCAATGCAAGACTATCTATGGGTTTGCTTCATTCCAGCCGCAAGTTTTGTGCAGGTAATCGACATCTCACAAGGACGGATGGCGAAATAGTCGAACAAATCACTTTGTTTCAATAACTTGAGTTGTTGGGAAAGGGTTGTTAAGTTTTTGTATTTGGTCGGGGCGCGCAATCAATCCCATCCTCCATCTTCTTTGCTTGCACACATTGGTCTATATATGTTGGTTATGGAGCAGAAGGAAGTTTGAAGTTCATAACAGAGAAAAGATCGATCAAGGTGCGTTATCAACGGGACAAAGCACTTACCTTCGAACTAATTTGTTTGACTCTTTACATCAGATTGTGTTGGAACGTGGACTTTCACAGTTTCACATGGGCATGGCTAACCCCTAGATGAGTCATAAATTAAGTTCATAATAATATATTTATGGTTTGAGATGTGTGAAATTTAGTAATAAATTGTTGTTAGAATCATACCTAGACTTTTGTCTCTTGCACAAAAGTCTTCTGTGTCAAGCCAACTTAGAATTAATCGAATTTTGATCACGGGTGAAACACTTCCTAATCCGTAAATTATTCATCGAAAACAACACTTCATAAGCGAGAAGGAGGCATGTAAGCGTCTTTTTCTTTTGTCGCTTTTGATAATGCTAGCTCAAGGAAGATGCACACAACATATATAGAGTTGAAGTTGGTCTAAGGCTATAACCAAGGTTTTTAGACTCAACTCAATCCGACACACACCTAAGTCAAAAATGAATTTCCAACCGAAGCGTATTCTAATGACCGAGCGTAGAGCAATGACTGTTGACTCTAAATGATCGAATTACAATAATTCGACCAATCTACTAGAGTTTTTTTTTTCCCACCAATCTACCAGAGTTTAGACACTTTGATAATCCACTTGTTTATTTAGTAGTAGCATAGGAACTTGATTGAATGACATTAAAGTTCAGGGACTTATACGACCAATACAAAAGATTTCAGGGGCTTTCATGACCTTGTCCTCTAAAACGGAATAAAAAAGGGACATTAAGGTCGGGGCTCAGGCCGTCAGGCGTCCTCTATCTCATGGCCACCTGTATGTACGTCCTACTCGTCGCTGTCGTTTCGGTTCTCTCTCTACTATGAATTCTCCTTCGCAGTCTCCTTTTAAATTATTCCTTTTTTTTTTTTCTTCCTTTCTTTTCAAAAACTCAATTTCGTGAAAGTTTTCTTCTCTGCTTCTTCTTCTTCTTAAACAAATAGAAGCACTCACACATCTCCCACAGCACACGCGTCCAGTCCAGGCCAGCCAGTTTCTGAATTTCCCACTGCAACAAATCCCGGAAAATCGCCGTTTCACTTTCCCAGCTTCCAAACACCCTACTACCTACATTGCCTCCCCCAACCAGATGTCCGCGAGTTCGAGTGACCGGCGAGAGGTGCTCCTCAAGATGAACGGCGGCGGTGCTTCCCCCAACGGAACTCCTCCTCGTCCTCCTGCTCCGGCCCCGTCCGGGAATATATGGAGAGAATCTAGCTACGATTTTCTGGAAGGAGTGGATAGAGATAGGAAGAAGGAGCAGCATTCTGAGGGTCACGACGCCGGGAGCGGGAGCTACAGATTCGATTTCAATCCGGCTCAGAGAAGCAGCAGTCCTGGGGAGAATGGGAAAGCAATTCCGGAGGAGGATCCGACGTCGAAGCTCATTGGACAGTTTCTGCACAAGCAGCAGGCGTCCGGGGAGTTCTGTTTGGATATGGACCTGGAGATGGCGGAGCTTCAGAACGGGAACAACAACGACGGGTTGCATCACCTCCGGCATCTTGCTCCGGTTTCCGAGTCGCCTGTGGCGGTTCACCAGCGAGTCTCTTTCGAGTCCAGCGAGTCGATAAGGAGGAGGCAGGCGAGCAGATTCAAGGAGTCCCCCGGGATTCAATCGAACGCTGGGAGCCCTGCTGCTGGTGATGGTGGAGGCGAGGTTTTGAAGTGCAGTTCCAGAGAAGGCGTTGGTTCGTTTTCCAGTCAATCGTCGTTTAAGAGGAAGTCCAATTTGTTCAAGGAGAAGACTAAGTCCAGGTTGATGGATCCACCGCAGCAGCAGCAGCCGAACTCGCAGCCGGAGAAATCAGGAAGGATGCCCGCTGCGAAGTCAGGGCAGTTGAAATCTGGATATGTAGGGAGAAGCAATCACATCGACGAAGAGGAAGACGATCCGTTGCTGGAGGAAGATTTGCCTGAAGGATTGAAGGAAAAACTCGGCATCTGGACTATCCTTGAATGGGTGAGCTTAATCTTACTCATTGCTGCTCTAGTTTGTTCCCTCACCATTCGGCTACTTAAGCAGAAGCACCTGTGGAACCTTCCTCTGTGGAAATGGGAAGTAATGGTTTTAGTACTCATCTGCGGGAGGTTAGTTTCAGGATGGGTGATTAGGTTCATAGTGTTCTTCATTGAGAGAAACTTTCTGCTGCGTAAACGAGTTCTCTATTTCGTCTATGGAGTCAAGAAGCCTGTGCAGAACTCTCTATGGCTAGGGCTTGTCTTGATAGCTTGGCATTTCCTATTTGATAAGAAAGTTGAGAAGGAAACTGGAAGCAGGTTTCTTCGATATGTGACCAAAGTTCTACTGTGCTTAGTGGTGGGAACTTTGATATGGCTGGTGAAGACCCTCATAGTTAAGGTCCTGGCTTCCTCTTTCCATATGAGCACTTACTTCGATCGGATTCAGGAGTCGTTGTTCAACCAATATGTAATTGAGACTCTCTCCGGTCCTCCATTGATTGAAATCCAAAGGAATGAAGAGGAAGAAGGAAGACTTTTGTCAGAGGTGCAGAAGTTACAGAATGCTGGTGTTGATGTGCCACCGGCTCTTAAGGCTGCAACATTTCCATCACCTCAGCCAAGCAAGGTGATTGGGAGTGGGCGGCTTCAGAAGAGCCCAAGAGTCGGTACTCCCAGGGGTGCTTCTGGTACTTTTGCTAATACATATAAGGAGGGTGATGATGGGATAACGATTGATCACTTGCATAAGTTGAATCATCAGAATGTCTCTGCCTGGAATATGAAGAGGCTGATGAACATAATCAGACATGGGGCTTTGTCGACTCTGGACGAGCAGATAAAGGATTCGATCCATGATGATGATGAATCGACCACGAAGATTCGAAGTGAATATGAAGCTAAAGCTGCTGCTAGGAAAATATTTCAGAATGTGGCCAAGCCTGGTTCTAGGTACAGTGTTTGATATATATTGAAATACACTATTTGCCTATTTGTGTCGGGTCTTCTCTGTGCATGTGATTCAGATTTCTGGTGCATTTATTTGTTAGTCGATACTATATTTTTCAATGTTAGTTTTCTGCTCTTGCTGACGCAAGTTGCAGCTGATGCTATATTGCTTTGTTTTATTCTGTTTTGTTTCTTTTGTTGTTTATTTTTCTACTTGCGAGATCATCAATTCTGTTTCAACTAGATGCAGTGGTAGGAGTAATTCTCTGTGCTAGTGTAGTTTTTTTTGGATGTTTCAGTGAGCCTCCCATGTCATGGAAAATTCATTTTAACAGTCTGTTAGATACTTCATCAAAACCTTGGGTGTCACTTCTCACTGGCAGTGGCAAATCATGTTCTCCTTCAGAATCATTTGTTCCATTACTGTAGTCTGTAACAATCTCTGTTTACTTCTTCGATGTAGATTTATCTACTTTGAGGATCTTTTGCGCTTTATGCAAGAAGATGAGGCTACGAAGGCCATGAGTCTCTATGAAGGAGCTGCAGAAACTCAGAAGATCAGCAAGTCATGCTTGAAGAACTGGGTGGTATGAGCCGTAGTGACCAGTTTATATTGTTGCCCTTGAACTAACAAGGAATCTACTTCATGGTCTTTTACTTTTTTGTGTTTTCAGGTCAATGCTTTTAGAGAAAGAAGAGCGCTGGCTTTGACCCTCAACGACACGAAAACAGCAGTGAACAAATTGCACCGGATGGTGAACGTTCTCGTCGCGATCCTGATCATCGTCATATGGCTTCTCATGCTGGGAATCGCCACGACTAAATTTCTGCTTTTCATGAGCTCCCAACTTGTTCTGGTAGCATTCGTCTTCGGCAACACCTGCAAAACGGTTTTTGAAGCTATCGTGTTCTTGTTTGTGATGCACCCGTTTGATGTAGGGGATCGGTGTGAGATTGATGGAGTACAGGTCAGTCAAAAGCTAATTTTCAATTTCGAAGATGAACACACACACACACACTTACTGCAAGTAAGTTGGCAGTGAATACTAATATTTGTTTATCCCATTTGGTTTCAGATGGTCGTGGAGGAGATGAACATTCTGACCACCATTTTCCTGAGGTACGATAACCAGAAGATCATCATCCCGAATAGCGTCCTTGCCACGAAAGCCATCGGTAACTACTACCGCAGTCCGGACATGGGCGATGGAATCGACTTCTTCATTCATGTGGCTACTCCAGCTGAGAAGATTGCTGCAGTTAGGCAAAGGATCAACGCGTAAGTATTCGGTCGTTAGAACACTCAAGTCTATACTAGTTTCATATCTGCATGAACTTATACTATATATACCATTGGATCCTGGCAGATATGTGGACAACAAGAAAGAGCATTGGTATCCATCTCCGATGGTCGTACTCAGGGAAGCTGAGGATTTGAACAAAGTCCGGATTTCGGTGTGGCCCTGCCACAGGATCAACCACCAAGACATGGGGGAGAGGTTCGTTAGGAGATCGCTGCTGATCGAAGAAATGGTCAGAATTTTCAAGGAGCTGGACATGCAGTTCCGGTTGCTGCCCGTGGATGTCAACGTCCGGGCGGTGCCGCCAGTATCGACGGAACGCGTTCCGCCGAGTTGGGCACTTGTTTGAGTGAGTGGAAGTAGATATAGAATTCTCGAAATGAACATTTTGGAGAGAGACCCTGGGTTACTTACGGCATGTAGAAGGTAACTAATAATAGGTAATAAGCTCCTGTTTGTAGATGATTACATAGTTTAATGGTGGTGTATTTGCGATGTTCTGCATATGGGGTGGCTAACTGGTTTCGGTGGTGGCTCTGGTTAATGGATTGGCCCAACCCTGTTTAATATAATAACCCTTCAGGTACGGATGATGATCGGTCATTTTGTTCTGTAATCAATGTGGTAGCGGTTCTTGGTTAAAGTACTGATAATTGTGGACTTGTGGTTAAATTATCAGCAAGCCAGGGTTCTTGGTGTTTTTTTATTTTTTTTGAATTGATGGCTATATTGTTGGAATCAAATTTAAACTTGCTTAATGGGTTTCCAATAAAGTCATCTGCGATAACCATTGGTTGGCTTCTGATTGATTGTTCGGTTTCTTTATTTTGGTTAACTGGACAAATTGGATAGCCACCCGCCTACACTAGGGCCTATACAACCACGTTTGTGAAACCGTACTGGAAGTTCTGTCGAAAAAATTAGATGTAGAGATTTTTGTACTAGAACAATGGTTCATTTGTTTTGCACGGCTAAAATCGATGAACATTTTAGATTTAGTATTCTGTATTTTCGATTGGACCGATCGGTACGGTAAACCATGACGATATAATTACATAAATGTAGAAAACACTCCCACTATCTGACGGGCTAAAAAATGAAGAAAAATTTTTTTTTGGATTCCCCTTTTATATCTTACATCGATAATATTTTTACCCTGGTGGATCTCTTTTTCTTTTAATAAAAGATTGGAATCTTGGCTTATTCATTAGTGGACTGGCTTTGGGATGCGATTACAGGTGAGTAATATTTGCGAAAAAGTTAATATGCTCACAAGGTGTTTTGTGAGTAGATACTCACAAGGCCCAGATTTGTCCATGTCGGTTCAGTTCTAATCCAAGGGTGAGGGGGTTAGCCCAGCCATGGCTCATTTAAGTGAGCTATTTAAGGGCTTTTTTGCACAAGTCGACCCAGCTGACCAAGTTGAACAAGGTGGCTTGGGTCCACCTTTGATTTGGGCGGGATTGAGAGAGGGAGCCGTTGAGATAACTCGTATCCAGCCGAAGACAAATAAATATCCAAAAGGGACCGATGCTGCGAACTATCGTCGGCTCTGCGAGGACGAAGAACGAGGCGGTGGTGGTCTCCAACCCGGGACCCGTGCTGCCGGGTCAACCGCCCGGGTTTGCCAGGTTTTGAGTGGTTCAGGGCAGGTTTGACTGAAATGAGCTAACTCTTCAATGTGTGTTTGAAACCCGTTCTTCCTACCGGATCCAGGTTAATCCGAGTCGATTTACGGGTTGACAACCTTGCCTGTGACCATCACATGTAAATATTAAAAAACAAAAAGAGAGAGAAAGAAATTACAAATGGAATTGCATTTTATGATAACTTGCACAATTACAATTATAACTTCCATCCATACCATTAAAATTGCATTTCCATTGCCACATATTTGTATGCTCCTACAAAACACAAATGCTCTTACAAAACACAAGACCGCCCAAAACCTGCTATTACTGTCAAACCCAGATAATGCTGGAAACTAGGCTTTCTCCTGCGCTGCACACCCATTACACTACTTAACATTTGTAAAATTAAGAACTCTTCTTTACAGCAGACTGTCTATCTCAGAACACATCACTTATCATACATTATTCTTCTCAACCCATCACCCTCAACTCAATGCCATTTTGAAACCTTCAACCTTTTTCTCTTTAAGCTCCTAGGTAAGCAAAAGCCAAATTACAACAGAAATCGTAAGAATGCAAATCTACCACTATCCAAGAAAGAGGGTGCAGAGCGGCCATCAAAAGGGAGTAGTCCAACGTTGTTGCCTCCGCCTCTTTCTGGCTCTTACATGTTCTTTCTCGCCATCATAGTTGGTTTGAGCACCTGAGCAGCTTATATCTGGCACGGAAACCACCCCGTGATCCCAGGGTTGTTTTGGCCAGCAGATCCCTGAGGCAGTCGGGGGTGATGGCATCTCCGGCACTGCCCAATAGCTATCCGAAGCTTGACCGTGAGACTCATCTTTATCCACTTCATCATCACCAGACCTCATCATTGCAGAGGAGCTATTGGAGTCTCCACGCCTCCCACTATCAGCCTGATACAAACACCATAAACAGGAAGCGCATGAGGGACAAGAATCACAAGGCGGCTAGTAACGAATTACAAAGGGCATATCACCTTTTATTGACTAATCCAAGAGTTAGATATCGAAGAAGCCAATTTAGCCAGAAAAGGTGTTGACTTGAAGTAACAGCACTAGAAGTGTCAAGAAACTCATTCCAAGATTTGATCTCGTATTAATTTCTTACACCTCCCTTTCATATAAAAACCAATTGGATTTGAAGTTTGCATAGGCCCAACAAGTCTTGTGGTTAAATATTAGCATTATCATTGAGGGTTACCAGTGTTCAAGCACACAAATAGTTTATAAAATATCAGTTCATTCCGATGATTAGAGAAACCATACTAAGTCCAGTTTAGCAACAGATCTGAAGATGTATATCAAGAGTTGCAATGGAAATAGAGAAATGCATACCTTTGATGAACCGTTACCCAAGTAGCTGTAAGTTTGGTTCAACTCAGTTAAACCCATAAATTCATCTAGTTGTGGCCACTGTTGGATGCCTCCGGCCTGATAATCCTCCGAAAAAGGCACCTTTGCAGAAGGCTCAGAGCTCCTTAATCCACCACCATTCACAGATGGAGTATCATTCGAGGAACTAGCGAATGGCATTGCTGGTGTGATTCTTTCAGAAACAGATTGAGATTTCATCGCCGATTGCTTTTCACCAGAAGGCGACTTACCTGAGGACGAAGATTTACCAGGATCAGTAGGCTCAAGACCTACCTTCACTCCTGTAAGTAAAAATCTCTGATGAGCAGACACATATTCATTTGCTGTGTGAATGGCCAAATCACATTTCCTGCAGAGCAAAGCTCTGTCTTCTAGGCAGAAGAAAAAGCCTGCCATTTCCTGCAATGTACAAAGACATTGTCCTTTACTCTCACCAATCACCATCAATGAATGCAACATCAGAATATCATATCAATAGTTCATCACTTCAATAGGATAAAGAAGGTTCCACCTAGCAAGTCATTGTGACAATGAAACTAAGATGACCACGATTTGAATTAAGGAACACATCCTAAGGTCATTTATAGCACCTTCATTTTCATTATCTCATAAAAGGACGAGATGATGACATAGAGGACCATAGACAGATCATTGCCTTTACAAAACCAAGTCAATGTGATTGATAGGACGAATAGGGAGTATTATGGAAGGCATCACTTCTGCTCAGCAATATCCGTCCATGTACGAAAGAGAGGTAGAGCATATGTTCTCAGGTAGAGTGGACTCCAATTGCTAGAAGAGGTACTCGTGAATAGGGTCTGTGAAAGTGACCTTGGGTCAAATGTTAGAGCTAGTATAGATGAATTAAGATCCTGGTATGAAACAATTGGGTTGACATAGTACTAGAAGAGCCCCGGTTACTTAATCACAAAAACTCAGAATTGGTGTTGTTCAATAAATTCCTCGAGAATTAGATCGTGTCAATAGCTCAAATTGTAAGGGGATGTTCATGAATAGATCCCATACTTATTCATTACACAGTCTCCTCAAACGAAAGCCTGCCATTTCATTGTACTTAAACTAGGTTTCTAATTCGAGCGACTGCAGTACAAAGGCACAGCCTTTTGGCCACTCTAATATCATTATGCCGAAAACTAAACTTTCCCAACCCAACTTAGGAAAAGAACATCAGCAGCAAGAGCGCTTTTCACCACCTAACCCAAGGATGATCCATCCACCACAACTCAAACCAGGAAATAAAAGAACAGAGGAAACCAGGGTGGGTTTTACCAGAATCATTAAATCCCCCCAAATAAGCAAAAATTGGAAAGAGGATCATCTACATCTACAGAACAAGACGATCAGTGGTAGTCACCTGACAAATATCGCATTTGGGCAATTGATGGGAAGAGCTGGTAAGCGGAATCCTTTGATGCTTGCTTGCCAACCTGTTGGCGGCGTGTACCTTCTCGTCGCAGGCCCAACACAATGCTGCCTCGTCTGCGCAGCACAGCACGTTCGCCTCCGCCCCCTCGCACACGTTGCACTGTATCTTCATCTCCTTCCCTCACTCTCTCTGGACAACCCAGTGGCGGGTAAGATCCTGAAACGAGGGAAAGTGGGGAAATTCTTCTGGACCAGATGGGGGAATCTAAAGCTGGAAACTTGGTGGATATTTTACGCAAGTGGGAGAAGCAAGCAAGGAAACTCAAAATTGGCAACTTGTAAACTTGTCTGGAATGGGGGCGGAATTGAGATCTTTTTCGTCCTGGTGACAAAGGAAAAGGAATAAAATAAAGATATAAAGAAGAGGATCAGATGAAGCCACAAGAGCTGCAACTGTTTGGTAGAGACTAGAGAGAGAGAACCTCTAGAGGAGAAGTAAAAGAGACTTCTTGACTGAGGTGAGGATCTTGTTGGAGAATACAGGGGGGGAAATTTGTGCACTGATATTTTGGTGGTTTGTGGAGGAATTCGTTGTACACGTGTAAGTCCCGCGCTGATAAACGAACTGCTTGGAGAACTGGCGTGTTGGGACTTGGGAGTGGGTAAGGTGAGCTGTGAGCTGGATTTTGAGCTCAATTGGGCCCTCCATCTTGGTGGGTGACCAATTTCCATACATGTGGGTTAATTGTAGGAGGTGTTCAAATTGTACGGTTGGTAATTGTTTTAATCAGTATTACTTGATAATTTGGATAATTGGTTTGGTTAAACCTTTTAGTTTGTTTGATTTAGGTGGTTTGGTTTTAGGCACTCCTAACCAGCCAAACCAAATTAACCAGATAAATAATTAGTCATATATCTATTATATACACATACTTAATACTTTGAATAACCACTCAATAGTTAAATGTTCATCATTTTAGACTCATAAAATATAAAGCTTGATATTGTTCATATAATGTATATTTGTATATGTAGAGTGTAGACCACAACATATGATGATATGAACGCCTAATTTGGATAAATCTCATACATTGTGTTGGATGAAAACTTGAAAGCAAAGTCCTTTTTTAGCCTATGAAAATTGCTAAAAGACTAAGTCAATTCAAACAAACACAACAATTCATTAACTCATACCATTGTGATAAATTATTGTTAGGTGTTAACTCATACCATTGTGATAAATTATTGTTAGGTGGATACTTCTATACTAACCGTAAGATAATTGTCTTAGTTGCATGTATTTATGTTAAGGGTCAACTATAACTATGTGTTGATTGTTATGTTTTATTCATTATATTTTTTATGGGTATGGTTTTATTCATTATATAAATTGTGAATTGATAATTTAACCGAAAATTTTCTCACTTAATGATAATATGATTTTATATTGGTTAATCTGGTTAACCAATTAACCAAATCAATTAAACTTTAGTTTGGTTAATTTGGTTGTTGTATTAGTTTGGACGGTTTGATTATGATATTGTATTTCCTAGTTAATGAAATTTAGTCTTATTTGGTTTGGTAATAATCATAGTAACCATTTGAACACCCCTAGTTAATTGGGTTCAGTGATAGACGGGCTTGATAGGTGAAGAGTTGGATTTGGTGGGTCAATGACAAAGTTTGTAAGAGCTCACAACATTTTTTTTTAAAAGCTCACAACATAATCTATGCATTTTGTTAGGGTAAATGCTATATTTGGTCACTGGGCTTACTAAATCGTGTTATGTTTAGTCACTAGAAAAAATTAATATAATTTTTTGTCACACGAATTACTAAAACCGATCACATTTAGTTACTCTCCCGTTAGCCTCCTTCCAACTCCGGTCACTCGAATTACTTTGTTTTTTTATGAATGTCACTCGAATTACTGAGACATGTCACATTTAGTCACTATCCGTTAGCCTCCGTCCAACTCCATTAGTTGGACGGAAACTAACGGGAGAGTGACTAAATGTGACATGTTTAAGTAATTCGAGTGACCAAAATTGATATTAATTTTTTCTAGTGACTAAGCATGACAGATTTAGTAATTTCAGTTACCAAATGTGGCATTTACCTAATTTTATAACGAAAAATCTGCGTGCATTTAAATTGATGGAATTTGAAGCATTACACTCCGAAGCAGCTTGGTATCAGAAAATATTGGTGAGCTAAGGGTAATTCCAACCTATTCACCAAAATTCAGCCCCCAACCTTCCAAATAGCTGAACATAGCTTCTATTTTCACCTTGTTATGCCACACATACTCTTCTCAAATTTAACCTGATTTTTTTTTATCTATCTCTGATAATACACCGAGTAAGGTGTAGGTAGCAATTGTACAAACACGGGAATTTAAGATTGTAAAAGAATTGTGAACCACATTTAATTTCCGTAAATAATATTTTCATACTTCATTGAATTTTGAGTTGCATGAAATTTGTTCGTATGATAAAATCATGCATCATTTTAGATTATAGTTTAATAACGCGCTCACGCAAATTTGATAGTTCATCCAGAAAATAAAATAACCATTGTCGGGATGTTTTTCCCCCATCCACCCCCACCACATATTTATTGTGATTGAGCACCATTTTGTGAAGTAGGAAGCAATATTTGCTTACCAACGGTTTGTTTGCATTAACTATTTCATACAATGCCTCCAATCGTTGCTTTCCAATTCATGAAATAATACCTACTGGGTTTTAAATGGAGGGATGTGGATTCTAGTGATCCGTTGCATTGTTTTATTCATGAAGAAACAATGAAAAAATGGAGGTTGGTTTATTCGGTAAAAAAATGATATAAAATTTATTAATTAATATTTTCAATCGATTCAAATTATTAAGATGACATGCTTATACCAGTATGTCCAATTTTTAATATTTAGTGTTTTAATTAAATTGAATTTTGAGTTTAGAAAATTAGATGTTGTAATATATATATCGGCAGAAGTTCCTCTACAAGCTGCAGCTAACTATAGCAAAGAAATGATGACATCGTCTTCGTCAGTACTACTTCTTCTCCTGGCCGCCGTCCTCCTCGTCGCCGGGTTTGCAGTAGTGCTCATACGTCGTCACCGGCTGGGAAATAATCACCGGCGGCCACCATCCCCACCGAGGCTGCCGATCCTCGGAAACCTCCACCAAGTGGGGAAGTACCCACACCGAACGTTCGCCAGCCTGGCGAAGCGGTACGGGGATCCGATGCTGTTTCACTTCGGGAGGAAGCCGGTGCTGGTGGTGACGAGCTCGGTGGCGGCTCGAGAGGTGTTGAAGACGAACGACCTCATCGCCTCCGACCGGCCCCAAATCGAAACCGCGAACAGGCTTCTCTACGGCGTCAACAAAGACATCACCAACGCCGCCTACGGCGATTACTGGAGGCAGCTCCGGCGGCTGTGCGTCCTCCACCTCCTCAGCACCAGAAAAGTTCAGTCCGGGCGAGCCGTGAGGGAGGAAGAAATCAGGTTACTGGTCAATCGGATCAAGCAGAATGCCCAAACAGTCCAGGTATGTGCTGATCCTCAACGTTTTACATTCCTGAGAATTTTAGAAAATTAACCTCCTCAGGCTCTGCCATCAACTTAACTCCGCCGGCCACTTATTGTGCATGATGCAGGCAGTGAACTTGAGCGAGCTGCTATTCCGCCTGTCCAACGACGTGATTTGCAGGATGGCTCTAGGGAGGAAGTACGATGTGGGTGGTAGCACCAATTTCAATTTCAAGGACCTGTTGGCCGAATTCACTGGTTTGCTGGGCACTTTTACTGTGGGCGACTTCATCCCTTGTCTCTGGTGGGTGAACCGGTTCACCGGGTTCGATTCCCGGGTCGATAGAGTTGCCCAGCAGTTTGATGAATTGCTTAATGCAGCTATCCTGGAGAGTGAGGCTCGTAACTTGGAGAAACGTAACAACACCAATTCTTCTTGTAGCAGTGTGATAACACAAGACAATTATGATGACCAAACAATATTACCCTTCATAGATACCTTATTGCAGCTTCAACTTGACGAGTTCCACCTTGATACAGATGCCATCAAAGCTTTGATCCTGGTACTTCATTACCAACATAGTCTAGCTATTCATTTTGGTTGTCTTTGTTAACGTCTCACCACTACATTACTAATTGATTATTGTTGACCAAATGATTAATTAGGACATGTTCGTGGCAGCAACAGATACATCTGCAACACTTTTGGAATGGACAATGTCGGAGCTGATGAAACACCCTAGGGTGATGAAGAAGCTGCGAGAGGAGTTGAGACGAGAGCTAGTGAGTGACGAGAAAGGAGAAATTATTATCGGGGAGGCCGATTTAGAGAGATTGAAGTACCTCAAACTAGTCATCAAAGAGACAATTCGATTGCACCCACCACTTCCTCTGCTGCTCCCACGACAGTTCATCCAAGACACAACCATATTAGGGTACGATGTATCGGCCGGAACCATGATCCTAATGGATGCATGGGCGATCGGAAGGGACCCTGCAGACTGGACCGAATCGCCTGGAGAATTCTGGCCCGAGCGATTTCTGAACAGCGACGTGGATTTTAGGGGTCAGGATTTCAAGCTGCTGCCTTTTGGTGCAGGAAGACGAGGTTGTCCTGGAATATCCTTTGGCCTTGCCGTTGTGGAGCATACGCTGGCTCATCTGGTGGGGAAATTTGATTGGGAGTTGCCTGGTGGCGTTGAAGGGCAGGAGTTGGACATGACTGAAGCTACTGGTTTTATAGCCTATCGAAAGACCCCTCTCGTTGCCATTCCCACCATTAATGTTTCTCAGAAGTTCGGCTCGAGCTGGAAATTTGAATGAGGTGGGGTAATCGAAGAAAATAAAAGCTCAAGGATTGAATCCTGCAATTCACTTATTGTCACATATAATATATTATCATATATACAAAACACAACCGGCCAGAATTGCGAGCAAAATTGGATCAAAAGGGCTTCTCCCCAACGACATTGCCAGGAGGATCATAGTTACAGCCCACAAACGTGTCCCCACTCTTACAGACAACTCTAGCACACCCAACTCGCGAGCTCTGCCTCCAAACCATCTGGGTATAGTGCAAGCAATCCTGGCCCTTCCTACACGAGTTCGCCGCGTGATCGTAGTAGCATCTCTCGGCGGCCCACGCCGCCACCGCGTCGCCGTGGCTCCACTGCTTGCCGCTCCCCCAGAAGAGGTTCTCGCCGTAATTGGTGCCGGAGTGGATGAGCTCGCAGTCCCCCTGCCTCGTGTGCGCCCAGGAGGCAGCGAAGTCGGCGAGCTTCTTGCTCCATTTCAGCGGAGGGATTCCCAGCTTGGATCTTTCTCTGTTGTGAGGCTCGAGGTATTGCCGGATGTGATCTTGCCGCAGCGGCGGTGGAGTCGTTCTGGCGGCGGAGGGATGGAAGAGGAAGAGGCAGAGGATCCAGAGGCAGGGGAAGAGGAGGTTGAGTGGTGGAGACATGTGTTGTGTGATGGAATGGTTTCTTTTGTCTCAAAATTGAATTGAGTTGTGTTTGGTGCTAAATGGGGCTTTTTTATATATGTGTGATCCCATATGATGGAATAATTAGCAGGTATTGCTCTAGCTTAGTAGCTGAACCTTTCTAGCTAATACTTTTTTAATTTATATATATGGTAATGATTACCGTACTTCTGAATAATATCATACTCTAAACGATATGTTTGTTGAAATGTATTTCAAGGCAAATCATAATAGTTTATTATTATTTTTATTAAATTATTTATGGTTTGCGTTTAGAGAATCAGTATCTATTCAATATAAATAGGGTATAACTTCGGATTCGGTTTAATTCATGGTCTAGAAAGAGATAACTCCAAGTGATCTTATCATTGGATGTACTTCAATGAATCAGAATCGTCAATTATTATTTACGTCAGTGATGTTATATCGAGAAGATTGCAACTTTTGACGATTTGCATCGATGGAGATTGATTATACCGAATGGATATTGTATATGTAAAATGGTTATAACTTATAAGAATATCATGCTCGATTTTAGTGATGAGGCCTCAAGTCGATATCTTTCTCTCCTTCTTTAACTTGTGGGTTGGGCGTCTCGTTAAAGGTTTGGGATCACAATTTAGATTCAATGAGTCATGCTGCATTCGTGGCTGCTTGGACGATTTCGTTAGAGTAAACCACTGTTGTCTTTCTGGACAGTGAGATCTCTATCTAAACCTACTCTTTTTTGTCAAGTGCTTTCTTGGTGTCTTATGGTTGTAAAATTATGGTAAGATTAGTACAAAATGAAGTGAAAAAGTGGTATCGATCTTCGTTCTAAGATGGAAGGGGAAAACGAAAAGTTTGAAGATAAAAGTTATTAAAAGGAGGCCAAGTTGCTCACAATCTCACATGATGTATTTGAAGGTGTAAGAGTGGCAGAATAATTTCACGTGCATGGTTGATGATGATTTGATTAGGGCAATAAGTGAGAGTGACACCTTCTGCTACACGGAGACAGCATGTTAGTGAATGTGAAGAAGAATTATTGGTCCAATTATGCGGAAAAAATCCCAAAGTACACTAGTTTTTAAAAAAAATTCCCAAAATACAGTAGTTATAAAAAAAATTCCAAAACTACACATGTTTGAGCATCACCGTTTTTGTCTAAAACGGTGAAGGTCATCACCGCGTTTGCCAAACACGGTGAGTGCTTCACCGTTTTAAATTAAAACGGTGAAGGGTTCACCGCTTTTGTTTAAAACGGTGAAGTACTCACCGTTTTAATTAAACACGGTGATGCCTTCACCGTTTTAAATTAAAACGGTGAACACTTCACCGTTTTTGTTGGACGCGGTGAAGTGCTGACGTGGACAGCACGGGGTATTCACCGCGTTACACAAACACGGTGAATAACCCGTGTTTGTTTGCGTCAGCAATCCGCGCCCATTGTGCTTTCACCGTGGCCGTTGGATGCGGTGAGACGCGGATCGTGGTTTTCTTCCCACGATCCGACGCCTCGCAGCAGGCCACGTCACCATGTATTCACCGCGTTTGGTGAAAACGGTGAGTTCACCGCGTTCATCAAACGCGGTGAATGCATGGTGAATTAACTGCGCAGCATCTCCTCCCCCCTTCCCCCAAACTATAAATACCCCCTCCCCCTTTCACTTTCAACTCACCCCACAAACATTTACCTTCTTTCTCCCTCAATTTATCCGCTCTAGTCTCGTTCTAAGTATGCTCTGTGGTTGCGGCTAAGTCCGATCTTCCACATCAGAAAGAATTACTAGAGTTTGACCCTAAAGCCCCCGTCCCGCTAAGTTCCCGTCCCTTACAAAGCTAAACCCGTCGAACCTCTGTCCGGCTTCCGCCAATAATGGACGAAGAGGCTCTTCGTGTAGGTTTTTGGTTTGTAATTTTTTTTAATCGAAACAATTTGATTTATTTTTTATCAAAACAATCTCTGATTATATTACTTTTTTATAGATGGGTGCCGAGATATACGATCCTCGATTGTATATCCATTATGGCCCAAGGGATGCGAGTCTATTAACCGATCAGCAAATGCATCGCTCCCGTGCCATTTGGGATAACAATCCGGTAATTTGATGAACTGACTTGCTTTATTTTATCATTTTCTAATGTTTTATTTTGCTTTATTTAATCTAATTAATTGATGTTTTTCCTATTTTTTTTAGGAATCTCTTGTTCCCGTGGTTCATAAAGGGACCAATAACTTGCCCGCTTGGCATCCAAGGTTGGAGCCCTATATAGCGAGGACCGGTTTGGGAATGTTGCGCCATTTCTTGCGGATCGAGATCGACAACGAGCTGCTTACGGCAATGGCGGAACGATGGCGTCCCGAAACCCATACATTCCACCTTGCGGAGGGGGAAATGACGATCACCCTCAAAGACGTGACGATCCTCACCGGGCTTCCTATATCTGGAGATGCCATCATTGGGAACACGACCAAACCCGAAGGAGGTTGGGGGCCGCTCATCCGTGATCGTTTGGGCTTCGACATGCCGACCACCACACCAAATCAAGGACGGGGGCATCCACCGTTGAATGCGGGGCAAGTGTCGGTCCCGTGGCTGGTATCTCACATCCAGCAAGAGGTGGAAATCAATGACGAGACACCGGAAGAACAAGTCGAGCGCTACGCCCGCATCTACCTCATCGGTTTGGTGGGTGGATTTTTGTTCCCCGACAAGTCCAACCGGTGGATTCAAGGCATATGGTTGCCATTGCTCACCGGTGACTGGGATGCAATTGGAGAGAAGAGTTGGGGATCGGCATTGCATGTGAACAGGGTATCCTTTCGTTCTGATACTTTTGACAAGAACACTCCCCTAATTCGTAGTGCAATTTGACCGTTTGACGATTGTGACCACGTCTCCCTCCACCCCATATACCTGTTTCGACAGCGAATATTCCTTCACTGCGGTTAAAAAGAACAACCTTATGCTTACTTGATTTTTCATCGTTCTTCTGCATTTGAGCAAATACGTCATGTGCTATTGAATGACCTTGCAACTCCCTCCCTATAGCTAGCTGTAGCCGAGCAACTCGCCACTCGTTGACCTTCCAATAAGACATTTCCACGATGACAGAAATAGGCATCGCTCGAAGACCCTTGTAAACATTATTTATACTTTCTCCATGGTTGGTAGTTGCAATGCCCCATCTAGCCCCGTTGTCCATATGGAACGTCCACATGGGCAACTCTTGACCTTCAGCCCATACTGCTCCAGCTCGGTGGGTCTGACGGATCGTTTTCATGATCTGCTCGTACTTTTTTGGTTGATGTGCAACCGCTAAAATGTGAACAAAAGACTAACTGGTCAATACATGATGAATAACATCAGCTTATCAGCTTAATAAACACAAACTTAAATCGCATAAGAAAAACATGAGTACCTGCATTCCAAAGTAGATTTTTGATGTCTTTCTTCTTCCCAAATTTGTGTTGGAAATTGGCGAGCCAGTGCCGAATACACCATCTCCATCTCCACCCCCACTCGTCGGGAAAACCACCAACAGCATTCCTTATCCCCGCATGTCGATCGGATATAATCGTAATATCTTCCCGCTGTGTCACGTGTTCGTGCAGTTGGTCAAAGAACCAAGCCCAACTTAAACTGTTCTCCCCTTCCACTAATGCAAATGCAAGCGGGAAAATTCGCCTATTTCCATCAACGCCAGTGGCAATTAGAAGACATCCTCTGTACTTCCCAGTAAGGAAAGTTCCGTCAACCTGAATAAAAATTTAGGATATAATTAGTATGAAATATACTTAACAGCAAATAATACAACATTTAAAACCGGAACTAGTTGGTAAAATACCTGAATAACCGGTATGCAGAACCCAAAACCGTCAATGCATGGTTTAAAAGCCCAAAAAAGACGATGGAACATCAGCTTATCCTGTACTCGAACTTGATCCTCAGTGTATACATTGTTGTATACTGGGACGAAAACAGTCCCAGGATTGGACTCCTCCATTGCTCCCATAAGTCTAGGGAGTAAAGCATACGAATCCTCCCAATCACCATACACCTCAGCCATGGCTTTCTGCTTACCATGCCATGTTTTTTTGTACCTTATCGTGTAAGAATGTCGATCCTTCACCTCTGCCATGATAGCTTTCACCTTGATATCTGGTTGTGCTTCTATAAGGTGCTTAATAGTTCTCCCAACCTTCTTTGCTTTTAGTTGCCTGTGATCTTGGGAAAGTATAGAAGAGGAGCATGTGTGGATCGTCTCAGCTTTGCGAATCACCCAAGCACCCTTTCTCTTCATATTTGCAGCCCGCAGTTGCCACGTACAACCCTCTGCATCATGCTTGCATATGACATGTAATTGTTTACTGTCAGAATATTTTACCTTCCACTCGAAATTGCGCCTCAACGCCTCTTCTGTAAATGCATCCTGCACAGCGTCTTTCGATGTGAACGCCATACCCACCTCCAGATTGGCCGTTGGATTGTACACTGGCATAGGGACAAAGTCGGGGGGATCATTCTGACTATGTAAAAATTGAGTTGGAACCTGTGTGTAATATGGCGTGGGTGCCTCACGAAATGCCGCCTCATCCTCGTTATCATCAGTATCTTCCTCCTCCTCGCTCACTGATATCAAATCTTCCTCAGTATCCTCGTCGCTTGACTCGAATGGATAGCTCGAGCTAGAAGGATCAACATGACCATGATCACCAACATCGTCCTCTCGCTCATGTGAAGTACGCCCTGATCGAATGGTATTCTCGATTCCATACCACTCTGGCCCCCAAGCAGGCCATTGAACACCATCGGCCTCAACAAATGGGGCTGGTTTAGGAGGTTGCGAGTATTGGTCCCATCCTGCACTACTCGATCCACCGTAGTTGATTGAACCACCACCCTCCCCGTAACCTCCTGTATAACCACCGCCTTGGTAGTTGCTCGAACTACCACCCCATTCGTACCCTCCTGCAAAACCATCATCATAAGAATACTGGTGAGAATGAGATTCACCGAGCGCCTCGGTCTCAACATACACCTCTGCAAGCCGGACTTGGTTATCGCTTAGGAACTGTAACATCATCATAACCGCGTCATCATCGTTTATGACAACTTCTTGGAACACGACCCCGCCAGCACTCATGTCTGGATACCGGTAAGTAATTTTGCCAAGTCTCGTCTGTCCGCTCGTACAAACCCTTTCTGCACAAAGATCACAGAGTTCTTGAAAATTGAATCGGGATTCAATTTTCAGCATAATGGATTCGCCGTCCTCATAATCAATGCCTATGTCAGAGTTTGTCACCCTTCCATTCCACCGAATAGTAAGATGAAACTTCTTGAATTTACCCATATCTACAATTTACAATAAGTATCTATTAGCTTAAAGACAGTAAAATTAACCAAAATCATATTGTACAACTAATATTAAATCATACCATAAGTAACAAAAATAAATTCAACTAACTAACAACAACATAATACGAAAATTAAATCATACTATAACTAACGAACATAAGTTCAACTAACTAACAACAACATAATACGAAAATTAAATCATACCATAACTAACAAAAATAAATTCAACTAACAAACAACAACATAATACGAAAATTAAATCATACTATAACTAACGAATATAAGTTCAACTAACTAACAACAACATAATACGAAAATTAAATCATAATACGAAAATTAAATCATACTATAACTACTAAAAACATAATTAGACCATAATACGAAAAGTCTCAACATACCGAAAAATTTCTGTTCTGTGTATTATGCTCGATTTTGTCTGCTGAAATTTGAAGAAAGGGGAGTGGTTATGTTTTTACAACTGCTGGTGGTGTGGTATTTATAGGAAAATCTGCCTACTATTCACCGTTTTTGACACAAACGGTGAACACTATCACCGCGTTTGTCTCAAACGGTGAATAGGTGGTAGCTGCGACCTAATTTTGACCTACCAGGGGTGGGAAACGTGGGAAATGATCACCGCGTTAGTTAACAACGGTGAAGGCTTCACCGTTTTGGTCAAAAACGGTGAAGCTTTCACCGTTGTTAATTAACGCGGTGAAAGCTTCACCGTTTTGGTATGAAACGGTGAATACTTCACCGTTTTTGTTTAAAACGATGAAGTATTCACCGTGTTTGTCAAACGCGGTGATGCTCAAACATGTGTACTTTGGAAATTTTTTTTATAACTCATGTATTTTGAGAATTTTTTTTAAGAACGTGTGTACTTTGGGATTTTTTCCCCAATTATGCACCATTTCTGTGTACCATTTGTTGCTTTCAATTAACTGAAAAAACTGATTGTTAATCATTGCCGTCAACTATAACTTCCATGTCATTATTGCTTGCTCCTCCAGGTTATTTCTAGTGCCCTTACATTTGTCACTTGGGCGGTCGATAGAGTGGCACGTAAAACTTTTTCTTTGTTTTTGCTAGAATTGCAATTGTTTGATTTTTCTTGCCTAGTTAGGATGGTTGGGTTCTTGTAGAGGTGGGGTATTTTTTTTTATTGTTGTTTCTTTCTTGACATTTCTTGGTGACAAAAAGGAATAGAAATAATTTGTGAATGAGAGATTGATCTAATCGTATTATTGTTGAAAATTATAAGTAATAAGTAGTTTCGACAATACGTGGTCGCTGCTCTAGTGAAGAGATGTTTGATTCAACTATCTCTTATGTGTTTGATAGTGATGATTTGCTAATTTGTCCTCTACATAAATTTAGAAGATGGATAACAAAATTGACAACGAACGTTATACTTAACACTTTGTTTCGCAGTCTAATGTAACCCTCTAAGGTCATCAAAATTTTGGTGTACCACAGTATTAGGAAGGAACATGTAATCGATCCAAACGGCTTCCTTGGTTGGATTTATAACTGTCCTCTTCTGTTTGGAAGCTAGCACTGGCGAAATCTCTTGAGAAGGCACGTAAAAGCAAACTTTAGATATGATACCAAAATCGATTATAATTATCTGTTAGGTCTTACATTGAAAAGAAAAAGAGATTCAGGTATCAAAACCTTAAAATAGAAAAGTTAAGGCACTAAAACGGATAGCTGGTAATTTTCGGAAAGCAAAATCTCAACGGCGTCGTGTAGTTGGCGGGCCGACGTTTTCCTCTGCTTGCTCCTGCCGTTTCTGCTTAGCGCGGGGGGTCTCGCTTCCTTCGACATCGACGGAGAGCAGGGAAATAGTCAATGCAGAGAAGCTCGGCTAGGTCGGAAATCGGAATCGGAATCGGAATCGGAATCGGAATCGGAATCGGAATCGAGAAGCTGAGCGACGAGAAGTACACGGTGGCTTGGAAATGCGATTCCTATTCTGCACCATTTCCGAAACCAAGTCGTGGATCTTCTCGTGAGCTCTGAATCGAGGTACAATCCTTTCTCATTGTCTTCTTCCCTTCATTTTGCTGCTTGGAGTAAGTAATTAAGCAAGAGTTGTTGCTGTTCTGATTGAGTAGCTTTGATCAATTGGAGGATCGTTATTCGTTAATGAAATGCTGAATTGCTGATAGTTCCTCACCCGAACTGTCTTATGATGTGGTTAGAGGGCAAACAAGGTCCGAGTGTAGAAATTCTCCTGTTGAGGGTCATTCAGAGACTCATTTGTGGGATTAAAGTTACCTTATGTCGCTGATTCGTAAAAAAGTTTGGTTTTTGGAAGATCTAGAACTCCTGTGTTCAGTTATCCTTGCTCATTGGTGAAGGTAGAATATCTTCGTTTCGGTAATTTGAGGCTGATTAGGTTTTACTTTGAGGAGCATATGCATTGGCATAGCACGTTTCAGGGAATTGGTGATGTCTGTTTGTAGACGGATAAGCTGCTGTTGGTTAGCTTCTGTTCCTAGCTTAGATTATAAGTGTGGATTCAAGGTGGTTTTGTTAGCTCTAATCTATGGTAGAAGATATGCTTGAACATTTTCCTCCTTCCAGTTGAAGGAAAAGTTCAACTAAAAAGCCTCAAATTTTATATAAAATGTCAACGGGAGTGAATTATCTGTTAATCCTTCTTACTTCACCTCATTATTAGTTATTACCAGTCCATAGCGTATTTTCTGATCTGGGGTGAACGTTCGTTTTTTTAAACCAGATGTTTTGACTATGTTACAAAAGAACTTGTAAAGATCAATTACCATTAAGATATATTACTAGTACAATATCTAAGATCTAACCCCTTTGGGAATGATATACTGTGCTCGTCTGCAGACCATTTCTATCAAATGGAAGGAGTAAGGGATTCTGTTGTCAAGAAATCTAAAAGATTGACATCTGTTGTATGGAATCACTTTGAACGGGTAAGGAAGGCTGACACATGCTATGCTGTTTGTGTGCATTGTAACAAGAAACTTAGTGGATCAAGTAATAGCGGAACTACGCATCTCAGAAATCACTTAATGCGATGTTTGAAGAGATCCAATTATGATGTAACACACCTATTTGAGGCAAAGAGAAGGAAAAAGGAACCCTTGTTTGCTGTTACAGATGTCAATCCGGTGGTACAAAGACCGGATGCATACATCAACACTCCAGTAGTAAAGTTCGATCAGGAGCTAAGAAAACACGGAGTTCTGAACGTGGGAAGTAGTAGTAGGTTCAGTCAACAGCGTAGTCAGCTTGATCTTACCTGCATGATTCTATTACATGGTTACCCGTTGACCATGATTGACCATTCCGGATTCAGAGTTTTTTTGAAGAATCTTCAGCCTTTGTTTGAGGCTGTACCAAATGCTTCTGTTGAATCCTCTTGCGTGCAAATCTATGAGAAAGAGAAGCATAGAGTGCGTGAAATGTTAAGCAGATTGAATGGCAGAATAAACCTTGCAGTTGAAAAGTGGAGTTGTCCGGACAATAATCAATACTTGTGTTTGACAGCACAGTTCATTGATGAGATTTGGAAACTGCAGAGGAAAGTTCTAAACTTTGTGACTTTAGAAACCTCTCAGACCGAAGATATGCTTTCTGAAGTGATTATTAAGTGCCTGTTGGAGTGGGGTATTGAGTGCAAGTTGTTTGCTATGACATTTGATGATTGCTCCATAGATGATCATATTATTGTGAGAATAAAGAACCGGATTTCTGAAACCAGGCCCCTTTTGAGTAATGGCCGACTATTCGATATCAGGTCTGCTGCTCATGTAGTAAATTTGATGGTTCAAGACGCCATAGAAGCACTAGGAGAGGTGAACCAGAAGATTCGAGAAAGTGTAAGATATGTCAAAAGTTCAAGAGAAATCCAGCTCAAGTTCAACGAGATTGTTCAGCAAGTTGGTATGGATGGTCAGAAAAACTTAGTTCTTGATGCCCCATCGCGGTGGAACTCGACATACTATATGCTCGAGACAGCCCTAGAATACAAGACTTCATTTTGCTTCTTGCAACAACATGACCCAGGCTACACTACAGTTTTAACGGAGACTGAGTGGGAATGGGCGAGTTCTATTACTGGTTATTTGAAACTGTTTGTGGAGATTACCAATGTTTTCTCTGGAAGCAAACCTCTGACAGCCAACATGTATTTCCCCGAGATATGTGATGTTCACATCCAACTAATTGAATGGTGCAAAAATTCAGATGGCTATCTTAGTTGCATTGCTTCTAAGATGAAAGCCAAGTTTGATAGGTACTGGAGCAAATGCAGTTTGGCTTTGGCAGTTGCTGCAATCTTAGACCCTCGGTTCAAGATGAAACTGGTGGAGTACTATTACTCTCAGATTTATGGTAGCACAGCCCTGGATCGAATCAAGGAGGTCGCGGATGGTATAAGGGAACTTTTTAATGCATACTCTATCTGTTCAACATTGGTTGACCAAGGCTCAACTCTTCCTGGAAGTAGCATGCCAGGCACTTGCACCAATATTAGCAGAGATAGATTAAAGGGCTTTGACGAATACCTGCATGAGACGTCTCAAAGCCAGAGTTCTGTATCCGACCTGGACAAATATTTAGAAGAACCGGTGATTCCTCGTAACCATGATTTCAACATTTTGAACTGGTGGATGGCCCATACACCAAGATACCCTATCTTGTCTATGATGGCAAGGGATGTTCTGGGCACTCCAATGTCAAATGTCTCACCCGACATGGTGTTCAGCACCGAAAGAAGGATGCTCGATGGTTACAGAAGCTCGCTAAGTGCAGACACTCTGCAGGCTTTGATATGTGCTCGTGATTGGTTGCATATTGAACCAGAAGGTGTGTTGCATGTATATACTGGATTTTCAGTTTGTTACAATCAAAATTTGATGTTCTTTTGGCAGCTATAACTGTTTTCTTGTTTTGCTAGATCACGCGTCGTCCTCTTCCCTCGCTGTCTGCATTGAATCAAGCTAATCAGTCGGCAGTATGCTTCCTCCTGCGCTCTCTTCCTCTTGTGTATGGTAAAGAAATTGCTGTGAGCTGACATCTGATTGGTCTTCTAGGCATCCTACATCCTTTTCAAATATGTGTATTCATGTCCATATTCAATAAACCAAAGCTTCCTAGATGAGTCGTTTCTTCTTCTGTATCAGATGCTTGAAAGTATTGTTAATTTTAAAGCTGCTCCCCTCGCTTTAGGCATGTAAATAAAGAACCTTTTTAGGTCACTTGAATTGCCTTTTGCATCTATTCTTCTTTTCTCGCTTTGCTCCTGTTCTTGTACATTTGACGCGAAAGAGATCCATTGAGCATTGGGAGAGGGTCTTTTATTTCATACTTTTGATCTAAAAAAGGAACCTTTGGAAAAGGTGTCCTGTTTTGTTTTCTTTTTCGCTTGAGTTGGCTTTTGCATCTATTCCCGCTTCGCTATGGACTCGATTTCTTAGCACTATCACAGACTCGATTGACGTAAAAGAGATCAATTGGGCGGTTTTGTATTGTAATTTTGATCTCCAAAAGGAACTTTTGGCAAAGGTGTTTTGTCCTTTCCTCAGCTTGGTCTTATGATAATATCAACGAGTGATGAGTTCTTGTTCTGGTACATACAAGAATGTTTGATGATGTGGCAAGCCTTGTTGGCAGGTCGAGCATCCTCTTCCCTCTTCTCTTGCACACACACAGAGCAAGCTTTAGATGGTGGTCGATGCTTTTCTAATCGTCAAATTATGTCTTGACAGTTAGAAAAACACACGAGATTCACATATGATAGTTGTTGATTTTATGCCGCTTGTTCTGCTGCAGCTGGCATATATAGAGGAAAGATGGCAATCCTCTGTCCCCTCTTAAGTTGCCATACTAAAGTTCTAAATCTAATGCACACATATTCGTTTAATTAAGTTGTCTGAACAATCTCATAATTTTCTCATCTCTTACAAAACAACAATCAATCGATTTGGTACACCCACCCGCATGATCTGAGCAATCTCTAGAGTATACCAATTGTAGCCAAGGCTAAGCATTCTAGTCGCTAAAGTAAGGATATGCAATCTTGAGAAATAAAGGCTCTCAAAGGGATGGGACTACTGGACTGGATTCCCACCGAATATCTCACTTTTGCAGATAAAGTATGCAACTTTGAGGTGCGGAATGCAATGCAGTGCACTGCAGTGCAGAAGAGATTTACTAGTATCTCCTTAGGGCCCATGCGTTTAGGCTGATTTTGAACCCACTCGTCTAGTAGAATAGTACCAAGTTGAACGAATAACGTTAACTTGGAGATCAAATTAGCATGTATACATGTCTTTCAGATACCATTATCTCATGAGACTCGACATGCAAATGTACCAGGTGTCCTAATTCCGTATGAAAGAAAACTATCCGATAATTCGATAAAGTCAGAATAACGTGAAATCAAAGTAATATTTGTTAGGTTCACTATATCAAAATTTCAGGTTGGCTTCCACGGTTTTATATATATGAAATCGGAGAAAACCAACTTTTTTTTTTACCACCATTCATTGATATGAAATGTCATTCAACAAACATTTGGCATTTGAAAATGAGATGAGAAATTCTAAAGCAAATGTTTGGGTATAGTAGACTCATGCATTAATGACTTACAATAATCGAACTCGATTGCATGTCATTGATGGTCTATTTTTTATATATATAATTGCGATAAGGATCCAAAACATGGTTCTTGATAATCCGAGTCAAACTCAAACCAATGTCATGAATGCAAAAGTGTTATTAATCGATCTTATGTGTCAATAAATGAACATGAAAGTAGAGACGGACCCTTTTCCTCTAATCGTGTCATCATCGAAGCTGGGATTTTTTGATTGATGATCACCTCACAATGCATGAAATATAGAATCCCATCACATATGTTAGTAATTTTGTCATATGGATTAGTCTAATCAAAGCTTTTTCAGGGAAGTTTCAAACAAATTCTTCAATACTCCAAAAGTTCTCTAGAGTCAAGGCCCATTAGTCTCTTACTCCTTTCCTTTTTTTTTTTTTTTTTGGGGTAAACTCTTACTCCTTTCCTTTGGAGTGTAAAGACCAATTTTGAAAAGCTCCACTGACAGGGCAAGGCGTGTCAACAAATTCTTAACATCGAATATACTGCGATTAACAAAATAACCAAAACAAAACAAAGCCATTAAGGCAAGTGGAGTTAATACAGGGGGGAAGAGAAAGAAAAAGCGAATGCAACGAGAGGAAATATGGAAGAATCTACAGACAAGGAGGATTGGGTGTCAGCCCCGAGTGGAGGAGGGAGAAGAAGTAGGGAGCAAAGCAAAGAGAAGGGCGGGGGGACGCCTCTTTTCTTCTTTACAGTTTACCCTGTGATCCTCACACGAGGAATTTGCTGCTCCTTTTTCCTGCTTTTCCTTTACCTTTCTTTTATCATCTCTCTCAAAAACTCTCTCTGCCCACTGATCCTTTCTCCTCCAGCTTTACTCTTTAAGCTCCATCTCCACCCACACTCTACTCTGTCTCACTACGCGATTCTTCAGTCTGCTAATTGAAGGTCTTTCCTTTCTTCTTATGGGTTTCTTCTGCTGTGTAAATTTTTGTTGCCCCCTCCATGCATAGAGTTCTTTGTGATGTTCTTTCTGTAGTAGTTGGTTCTTTGTTTGCTTCAATTCGACATGGGTTTTGATTACATGAAAAGGGTCTTCGCTAAATTTGGTGAGTTGTTAGTGTGTATGTCTCTTATGTGGGTTGAATTCAAAGCTCCGGACTTGAACTGTAGTCAAAGAGAATTATGGTTGAAAATAGTTTTACTTCTTCATATATTTGTCTCGAGCTCCTTATTTAGAGAGACTTAAGTGTTTGTCTCATGCAATTCTTGTGGATCCCATTCGCCTTTTTTGTTTATTTGTGTTTCTTGGTCCTTTTGATGGTGACAATTAAAACATAATTGTGTGGCTTATAGCTTCTGGTGGATGGCAGTTTTGTTATCTGACTTGCTGTTAACTGAAATGTTGTTAATGTAAAAATTTGTGAATGTAGGTTATACAATTGCTTTGAGAATCATCTTGGTGCTGGTAAAAAGTTGGTGAATTTCTGAAAAGAAAGGGTCTGGTTCTCAAGGCTTGAACGTATGCCTGCAAACCAGTACCACGGTAACTCAACCCCGTACCCAGGTCGTGTGGAGCGGCAGCTTAGAGAGAGGGAGCTGAGGGAGCTTAGGAGAAGCATTAAGGCTGAGGCGAATGGTAATCATAGTCATAGAGGTGTTGAATCAAGTGAAGCACTAGAGTTGCACTTCAGAGAGAGTAGTGGCCCTCAGCAGAGTTCCTATATTGAACAGTACGTGGAAAAAGCTGCTGCTGCCGATGCTAGGCCTTTAAGGCAGAGGTTGCTGGTGGTAGCTAATCGGCTGCCAGTTTCTGCTGTGAGAAGAGGTGAAGATGCTTGGTCTTTGGAAATTAGTGCAGGAGGTCTTGTTTCTGCTCTTCTCGGTATGCTGTCAGAAAAAGTTTCTACTCTTTATGAATAATTACTGATTCCTCTCAATTTTCTTTTAGAATATAGCCTCCAAATGGGAAAAGGTCTAGAATGTGATGCATTTTGGATTATGTTATGAAGGTGTGAAGGAATTTGAGGCAAGATGGATAGGCTGGGCTGGGGTTAATGTGCCTGATGAGGTAGGCCAGAAGGCACTTACAAAAGCTTTGGCCGAAAAAGTAAGCATTATGTCTGATTAAACTTCCGTTGGTTTTCCTTTCTGTGATTATTGATTGAGCTTCTCTACCACTTCCAAATTGTCTTTCTTTTGATTGTCTTAGAGGTGCATTCCTGTATTCCTTGATGAAGAGACTGTTCATCAGTATTACAATGGTTACTGCAACAATATACTGTGGCCTCTTTTTCACTATCTTGGCCTTCCACAAGAAGATCGCCTTGCCACAACAAGGAGCTTCCAGTCACAGTTTGCCACGTATAAGAAGGCCAATCAGATGTTTGCTGATGTAGTGAATAAGCACTACGAGGATGGCGATGTTGTTTGGTGCCATGATTACCATTTAATGTTCCTTCCGAAATGCCTCAAGGAATACAACAGGAACATGAAAGTTGGATGGTTTCTCCACACACCTTTTCCATCCTCCGAAATCCACAGGACACTGCCCTCTAGATCAGAGCTACTACGTTCAGTTCTGGCTGCAGACTTAGTAGGGTAAGCCCTTACTGCGCAAGTCTTGTGGCATTTACAGTAGTACTCTCACGTAACTTCCTAAATTGCTGATGCTTTTAACCAGGCAGTATCGTTTTTATATCTTGTCCTTGTACCATTACATCTTGTCCACACATGCAATATCAATTTCAACTTCTTTTTTCAGATTTCATACATATGACTATGCAAGGCATTTCGTTAGTGCTTGCACCCGTATTCTTGGACTTGAAGGCACACCTGAAGGAGTTGAGGACCAAGGCAAGCTAACTCGGGTGGCAGCTGTATGTTTGCTTGATTGTACTTCTCTCGGTTGTCTTTAAATCCTTGTTAGCATACTGACAATTTGTTTATCTTCTTTGTATGTTCAGTTTCCCATAGGGATAGATTCAGAAAGGTTTATATCAGCCCTTAAGCTCCCTCAGGTGCAGGAGCACATAAAAGAACTGACGGAAAGGTTTCGTGGTCGTAAGGTATAATCTGATTTTGACCTCCCTATGTTGCTTCACTTGTTTGAGTAAAAGCACCCTACCGATCGAAGTGACTGGCTTAGTTTCTTCATTCCTGAATGTAAGCTTCCCACTTTTTAATAGGTGATGTTAGGGGTTGATCGTCTTGATATGATTAAGGGGATACCACAGAAGATACTTGCATTCGAGAAGTTTCTTGAGGAGAACCCTTTATGGCGTGATAAAGTTGTTCTGCTGCAAATTGCTGTGCCAACAAGAACCGACGTTCCTGAATGTAAGCTTCTTAGTTTTCCTGATTCCTTACAACCAAAAGAAAAGAGAGCCTTATTCTTGTTGCAAGTCTTCATTTGAAGTAATAATAAATTACATTTATACATCTGTACAGATCAGAAACTTACAAGTCAGGTTCATGAAATTGTTGGCCGCATTAATGGCCGATTTGGGACACTGACTGCTGTTCCAATACATCACCTGGTTTGTTACTGTCGACTTAACTCATCGTCCTCCTATTTTTATCCATATGTTTCGTAAGCTGTTGGTGGGAAGACTTGAACCTGTTTCCAGTCTTCCCATGAAATATTGTGCTTAGTTCTTTCAAAGTTATTTTATGTGATTGTTGCCAGATGGCTGATGATTGTATTCTGAAGTAGACTTCTGTTAATGCAGGATCGATCTCTGGATTTTTATGGCCTATGTGCATTATATGCTGTTACTGGTACAGTGTTCTTTTGTCTCGTAATTCAACTGCAACTTGTTTTGAGTTCAGTTGAAATTGAAACTGTCGCCCCTTTTTCTTGCATGGTTGTGTCAAGTCATAAAAATGGAACTTATGCTAGTTTAATTTGATGTTCCTTGATGTAAACAAGTATACTTACTAGGATTTTGACTTTGTGCTTATGTCATGATTTCTATTCCCGTTTTTCAGATGTAGCGCTTGTAACCTCATTGCGAGACGGGATGAATCTTGTTAGTTATGAGTTTGTAGCATGCCAAGATTCAAAGAAAGGTGTTCTAATTCTCAGCGAGGTACTTAGATATTACTCAACCGACTTCATTTCATTTTCTGCTCGTGTGCATTCTCCCTTTCTACTGGTACCTTGTGGCACATTACCTTCAAGCTATTCTAATAAAAGCTACTTTCAGTTTGCAGGTGCGGCACAATCTCTAGGTGCCGGAGCAATCCTTGTGAACCCTTGGAACATTACCGAAGTTGCCGATTCAATTCGACAAGCTTTGACTATGTCAGCTGAGGAAAGAGAGAAACGACACCATCATAATTTTGACCATGTTACAACCCACACAGCTCAAGAATGGGCAGAAATGTTTGTGAGGTACCACATTATCATACATTCTCAGAGAACTCACAAATTATATTTCAGAGAGTCAGGATTTTCTATGATCAGTTCACAAATTATATTTTGACCCCAATATCATACTTCAGATAGTGTGGTTTCTTCTTTTGACATGCAATTACTGTGTTCATGATCGCATACATGAGATTCTGACTCTGACCATGTTAAATTGCTGTATTTTTTTTTCTCGACAGTGAGCTCAATGATACAGTCGTCGAGGCACAACTAAGGACGAGGCAAGTCCCGCCCGGGCTTCCACAGGGAGATGCAATTAAATGTTATCTCAACTCCTGCAATCGATTGCTCATACTGGTATGCTTTCAACCCTAAAGCCCTTATTATCATTGGGCTCAATTTATCCATTTCACATACATCACTTCCTCGAGAAACTTATTAAAACTTTTTTTCGAGAATACTGACATAACTGAGCATATCCCAGATTGAAGAATGCACCACTTTGTTTCATGGGACCCACTTCTCTAGAGTTCATTTTCAAATGCTTACTACCCTTGTGTATTTGAGATTGCGTCATTCTAATGCATTTGGGATTGCAGTGATGTTCCAGATACACTCAACAAATCAAAAGTGTCAACAAAAACCGTTATATTTGTTCAATTGTATTGAAAGTATTGCTCTTCCATATACATAAACCAGATGACTTGTTTAGCGTGTTATAGAATAATAATTAGAACATTGGTAAATGGAGTCTAGAATAGAAGAACTATATGGTGTTTGTGATTGGCTCAATCATGTCAATTAATTTCACAGGGATTCAATGCTACATTGACTGAGCAAGTAGATACTCCAGGAAGAAGAGGTGATCAAATAAAGGAAATGGAGCTTAAACTGCGCCCAGATTTGAAGGGACCTCTGACGACCCTTTGCAATGATCCAAAGACGACTATTGTCGTCCTCAGTGGCAGTGACACAAGTTTGTTAGATGAGGTGAGAATGCCTACACTCCTCTTTATTGGGTCAAATCACAAATGGGTCGCACACTTTGGGGTAACTAACAATTATTCATTGTCTAACCGCGTCGAATGTGTTTCGCATTCCTACAGAATTTCGGGGACTATGATATGTGGCTTGCAGCAGAACACGGGATGTTCTTACGTCTTACAAAGGGGGAGTGGATGACAACCATGCCGGAGCACCTAAACATGGAGTGGGTCGACAGTGTAAAGGTGAATTAGGGATTTGTTTCTTTGTCCATTTTGGAACTCCGAGTTTAAAGAAATGTTTGACACCTTGAACTTGTTTTCAGCAAGTGTTTGAGTACTTCACGGAGCGAACACCCAGATCACATATTGAACTCCGTGACACATCGCTTGTCTGGAACTACAAATATGCAGGTAACTTATCCTCCCAAGGAATGTGTGCCTGCAAGTATTTGCTGCTAGTTGTATATGGTGATTCTCATCTTTATGCAACAGACGTAGAATTCGGGCGACTTCAAGCAAGGGACATGCTGCAGCACCTTTGGACTGGCCCAATTTCGAATGCATCTGTTGACGTCGTACAAGGTAGTCGATCAGTCGAGGTTCGAGCTGTCGGTGTGACAAAGGTAAAGCATAAACTTTTAGTGTCGGTGAATTCACAGAGCATTGGCCTTGTTTTTTATTCAATGTTTCCCCCCATATTTCATTCAGGGTGCGGCAATCGATCGTATCTTAGGGGAAATTGTTCATAGCAAGCAAATGACAACTCCTATCGACTATGTCTTGTGTGTCGGCCATTTTCTGGGGAAGGTAATTCTCAAGAGCTTTTCATATGCCATAGAGAGATACCCATATGTGTAGTAGGTTGATTATTTGTTGAGTCTATCGTCTTCTTTGTTCATCATTGTTTGCTTGCAGGATGAAGATGTATACACATTCTTCGAGCCAGAGCTCCCCTCCGATGACCTAGGTGTGATGAGGAGCAAGCAAACCGATAGTACAAAGTCATCGACACCAGGGGAAAGGAGATCTTCAAAGCAGCTTCCAGCAAGCAAAGCAGTAGCATCAAAATCATCATCTCATCAAGGCAACAAAATACAGCAGCGGGCTGCTGTCTCGTCGAGTTCAGAAAAAAAGTGGGCTTCAAGTTACATCTGCAACAGTAACGGGCGTAGCAGCAGCAGCAGTAGTAGTAGGGCATCACCTCCAGAGAAGACCTCGTGGAATGTTCTCGATCTCAAGGGAGACAACTACTTCTCTTGTGCAGTTGGGAGAAAAAGAACAAACGCGCGGTATATGCTCGGATCGTCGGACGAGGTCGTTTCCTTTCTGAAGAAGCTGGCCGATGCATCTTCATGAAGTAGTCTTCTGATAGAATAAAAATGAAGGAATAAGAGACCAATTTACCCGGAGAGTCCTGAAGTGCCATCAAGAATAAGTCTTTTTGTAGAGGCCAAGTGTTGGTAAAGTTGATTATATATAGATGAGATTCTAGTGTTGGAGAAGTGGCAGTTAAGATTCCGCACCCTCCAAAAGCCAGATATATATAGATCTCTATTTGGAGCTTGTATCTAGATATATATACAATGTATATCATTATCAGAAAGAAAATGAAGCTTCCATATATAAGATGTAATGGCACTGTCCTTCTCCATTTAGTCAATAGTGCTTGATTAATGGGCTGACTAACAATGTTTAAGTTCTATGTTTGTTAATTTGAATTAAAGCATTGTGTATGAATCAGTTGATTTGCATGCACCATTTTCATCAATCTCCCATTTCTGCATTTTCCTGGTTCCATGGCTGTCATTTATTGTCATCGCTGTCATTTATCCTAACTTCGGTGATGACTAGTGTGCAAATGTAACTAGTATGTGCGTCCAGGCCTGAGGCCTCTCCTGGATCCTGTCCTACAGGTTGCCTCACGTCCCCTCCTGCAGCTATAGTTGTTTGGTTTGATGGCTCGACTAGGGGCGTAATCAGGAGGTGGTACGGGTTTTGTTGGATTTGATACCTCTAGCTTACTCATGCTTTATTTTTGCTTTTGTTCTTGTTCTTTTGCTCCTCGATACTTCAATATGGCTGCCCATCTTATGGCTAAACAAGCTCTTTCATTGGGAGTTCGGCTATTGATCGACTACCGTCGTGACTGGATGATGTCCCCTGACTATTTGACCTTTATGTACTTTGAATATGTTATAAAAAAGAGTAATATGTGCATTATTACACACTTCTCTGGTAATATGCCTTAGTAGTATAGATTTAACAAAATACTTGATACGCATGCACATGGTAGTGGTATTGGTATGGAATGAGGAAAAACTTATTCCGAGGTAAGTTCCCACATTCAGCCATCACCCTTGGTTTGTAACTCATCAAATGCCGAAAGCATCTAAGACACTAAACTAAGAAGCACCAACTAGTAACTCCTGCTTATAATTCATGCACTGCTAAAGAATCAGAAGCGTAAAGAACAATTCATGGGGAAAAAATGAAAGAAAACATAAGTGTGTTGAAATAGAAGTCACTCAACTTACAAACTGCATAGTAGTTCGCAGAAGCAAACCAAAACACAGCCACTCAACTATGCTATAGCTAAAGAATACAACAAAAATAAATCATCAATCTAGCATGCCCTCTTACCCCTACTAGAATCACATTACCATCAGAGTTCTAGGAAATGGCTGCTGAAGAATAAAAATAATGAAACTGAAGCTCCAGAGAATAATGTGCAAGCAAAGATATATAAAGAACCCTCCTATGATGCTAAACACTCATTTTTAACCCCCCCTGAGCCACCCGCCAACACCAACACCAACCATTATTTGCACCAAACTAAGATGTCTGCAAACTGCATTCTTCTTTGCTGGAGCTCCCTATGATCTCTTGTTGGGCTCAAACACATACTTAATCAAGGACTCCTTGATCCCGAGCAACTCAGGGAACTCCTTCTTCAACTTGGAGGCATCCATCTCATTGTTGCTTCGGGGTGCAACTATGACCTTGGCTTGCTCCTCTAAGGTGAAATTGGTCCATGTGAACTTAGGGTCGATGTACTTCTTGTACATCTCTAGGATCTCATTGTGGCTGACAGCACCAGGGTTTGTGAAGTTCCATATCCCCCTCAAGTTCCTTTTTGCCATCTCGATGGAGATTGGTAGAAGCTCGTCCAGAATGGTCATGCTGTTTGGGATGTTGACCACTTTGCTGTATCGAGAGATCTTCGTGATGAAGTTTCGTGGGTTGTTTAGGTCTGATGATATCGGCATTCTCACCCTGAGCGTGCACACGTTCTCATACTCTTTCAACAGCTCCTCAACCTGGGAAGGAGTTTGAAAGAAAACTAATCAACGTTTGATTTTAATAGAAGAGATTGCTTGAAATCCAAACCTCAAGAAAACAAATCCCAAATAAAAACTTAATGAAATTGCAGAAGTTGGAGAATAAAGTTCCACATCTGCAATGATAATAATGTTGACTTGATTCAACAAGTACTCTAGCATTCCACCAATGACTGTCGGGCCCATTAAGTTTCAAAAAATTTGTTTGGTTTTTGGCCTAAGAAATCGGAACTACAATAATCAACAAAAAAATAAACTACTACCAAGCTGAAAATAATTTGGTTTCGTAAACCAAATCTCAAAAAACACTTTCCTATGCGTATTAATGAAACAAAAAAGGAATTTCAGGGAGAAAAAACAACCACGTACCATGGCCTTAGTCTTTGAGTAGAAAGAACCAGTAAAGTTGGGTTTATCCTCCTCCTTAAACCCTATCCCAGAGCCTTGCTTGTGAGCAGCATCATATTCGAATATACAGCCTGTAGCATAGTTTATCACGAGAAGGTTCTGCTCTCTGCAAACATCAGCTAACGTTAATGTACCAGCAACATTAGCCCGAATGGTCTCCGTTTTGTGCGATTCACACCAATCAACATTCGGTCTACCAGTAACTCCAGCAGCATTAAATACATGAGTGGGTTTAACATTAAGAATATCTGCCAAAAGAGACGAACGATCTTCCAGACGGCCCTTTCCATATTCATATGAAATTCCTTGCTTCTCACATAATTTCCCAAGGAGACCACCAATCCAGCCTGTCCTACCATAGATCAAAAACTTAAGAGGAGCCTTGTTAGAAGAAGCTGCTGCAGTATTGGTTTCCGTCTTAGGAGCTGGAATAACCATCTTGGTCTGATTAGAAGAAGAGTCTGTCGCAGAAGAACCAGATTTTCCATCTTCAGAACCATCAAAGTGTCTCCCACCAGGCATCATCAGCATCCTCGGGTGAGGAAGCAAGGCACCCGAGACATCACCCCACCAATCAGGATTTTGAGTGTACCACTCAATAGTCTTCTTCAACCCTTCCTCCCAAATAGTTCTTTCCGACCAACCCAAGTTCTTCAGTTTCTCATCATCAAGGAAGTACCTCTGGTCATTAAACGGTCTGTTCTCCACAAACTTGATGCTCGACTCAGGATTCATAGAAAAAAGCTTGCATATATCTTTGGCAACATCATTGACTCTCCTTTCTCTCTTTGTCCCAATGTTGTACACATGGCCAACCTCTCCCTTGTGAAGGATGCACTCAAAAGCCTCAGCTACATCCTCGCAGTACAAGTAGCTCCTCACATTTGAACCATCCCCATGGATCGGAAGAGGCATCCCTCTCATAGCCAAGAGGATGAACTTAGGAATCAACTTCTCAGGAAACTGATTAGGGCCATACACATTGTTCCCACGAGTCGTGATCACAGGTAACCCATAGGACCTACCATAAGCCATAACAAGCATCTCAGCACCGGCTTTGGTTGCAGAGTAAGGATTCGTGGGAAGAAGCTGTGAAGCCTCGTGGTTTCCTACAACAGCATCTTCATCAGTCTCCCCATAGACTTCATCAGTGCTCACGTGGATGAACCTCCTGATCTGACCGGTGACTTTGCAGGCCTCCAACAGAACATGGGTGCCATAGATGTTGTTCTTGGTGAACTCGAAGCTGTTGCCGAATGAGTTGTCGACATGAGTCTGGGCTGCAAAGTGCATAATTGTGTCGATAGATTCGGTAATGAGAAGGAAGTTGACAAGGTCTGCACTGCCAATGTCCCCCTTGACAAACTTGAAGTTGGCAGACGATTTTGAAGGAAGGAGGTTCTTCAGGTTTGAGCAATAATCGAGCTTGTCCAAAACAACAATTTTGTAATCTGGGTAGTTGCGGATTAGCCGATTGCAGACATGGGATGCAATGAACCCAGCTGCACCAGTAATTAAGATGTTCTTTGGAGTATATGTAGACATGGCTAGACGACCTTCTGCAACCATCAGAAGGTACAGGTTATAAGTTCCATGTAAGCAATTGCAGGGGACAACATAAACTGCATATAATTTGCATAGATCCAACATAAAAGAAAAAACCCCACCAAGACCAACGAACAAATTGAATATATCAGCTAGATCTGAAAAGTCTACACAGGGAAATCGCATAATTTTCAGGACAAGTCCTGGTAAAGCCCCTAGACGACGTATTTTTTTTATCTTGATCCTTTTCCCAGATTGAAAAAAACTGTTAAAAGTCTGTTGGGAATCAAGATCATACCAACAGAAAGACAGCTAAAACTGGACCTCATATAATCAGCCAATGACTTTATCCGAGTTCAATATCCCACAAAGCAATCAAACACATAACTTTCCAGAAAGCATCATACAGCAGCAGAGACCGCAATTGCATCAAGATCTATTCTTACGATGGCAGATCCAATGCCAATGACCAATTGAAGCGAGATGCGGGAATTGGATCCAAAAGGAGGCGAAGCAAATCCCATGATGGAAACTTCCTACATTTAGGAACACACCTAAATTGTCTATAGCTCGAGTAACATGCAAAGATTCCATGCCAACTACGCTAAAAAGAAAAGAGCCCAGAAAGCAAATCAACTCAAGGATCACGATCGGATCTACAACGAAACAACTTGAGCAGTACCCAGATCGCAGAATTAACTCAATACCGGAAAACTGAGAAGCCTGTGATCGTACGAAGGGTGAGAAAGGAAAGAAACACAAAGTGAAAAGGAATTGACTTACGAATTCAATACAGGTCAAGAGACGGGGGGACGAGAGGAGGCAGTACCCAGATTATCCCAAGAAGCCAAGGGGAGGGATGAAGAAGAAAACACAGAGATTTGCGAGAGAAAAGAAAAGAGGTAACAATGGAGAGGGAAGTTCGGAAGAGAGTCTCGAATTTATAGTGAGAGCATGCTCTCTCTCCCTTTGTTGTGTCGATTTCGTGAATGAATCATGAATGTATGTAAACTTAAAATTACAGTTAAATTTTAAAATCAAAATTAAATATCCTCCCCCAACCCCAATCATATTAGTTAATTCCCCAATTACGATTTAGTCCCCAAACTACAGATTTGTAAACTTTTGCACCCCGCAAGTTTGCATTTTTTTTTCTCAGCAATTTGTTATGATCAATGCCATGGCATAGTTGAGAACGACATTAATAAAATTTACTTGTCTTGGAAGACACCAAGTCAATCAAGGCTACGTAATACGTTTTCCAAACATGTAGTTTCTCTCATAAAGTTTGGCTCTTCTTTCGTATTATGATATAGTGGTGGAGATTGTCGAATTAAATCTGTTAGAAATTATTTATTAGAGAACTTTTCAATTAATTTAGGAACGAGCCACTCATTCATGCGTGCCCATGAAGAAAGGTACCGAACTTGATTGGCATCTGGAACAACTAAGAGTTTGCATACAACTAAATTCTCGCGCTACTGCTAAGGTCCTCCCGAAATCCAATTACAAACACCTAAACAACCATCATCATGTGATAATTATTCTTGTCATGTGCTGTTAACTCAAAATTTGGATATTGGATTTGCTCGCATTTACATGCAATGGTTTTTTTTTTCTTCTTCTTCTTCTAAGGTCTAATTTCAGAATTTAGCCTCCAACATGGCTAGTTACAATGTTTGGGAAGATGTCCAAATGGGATAGGAACTTTCATAAGGAGGGTTTGTCTTGTGAATTAGTGAGCTTGATCAAACAATCGTAAGAATGAATACATTATTAATAAGAGGTTCTGGTGCAATGACGAAGATCCAGAATGTGGTCATGATTCATGAACACAAACCACCTGGCAATTTGAAGAAAATAAATGTCTCGAATTAAGTATTGGGCAGTTTATGTGAATGCGCTTCAAGTGATTCCTCTTTATCATTCTGGTCGAAATTGTCTTATAAAAAATTGTTATCCTAAGAGTATGAAATAGACAAGATCTAGTTCCATGTGATCACCCAACTTTGTCATTTCGGTCATGGTACGGTATGAACTCTAAATTTGGCTAATGCGTGCTTCGGTTTTTGTCTAACATATTGGATCAATCAAGGGAGGAATTAAATGATCCTTCTGATATGATACTTGATAAATTTGCTATCCGACATAAATCATTATACAAGGAAGACGTACAAAGAACTTTAGATAAACATGATCCGAGAGATATAATCAAGCGTGATTTTTCATCGTCAAAGACCATGGTCCTTTCGCTTGAAGGACTTGAGAGCGCCGTTATATATACAAGGCAAGGGCTTGTTCCATTGTCTTGAGCCCTTAATTAGTGAGCTTCGGAAGTTCTCCACTCGATGGAGTTTGAGATTGCATCATGTCTTGTGTGAATGTAAAATGGATCTCAAATCTACTCCCAACAACAATACATAAACAGTTGTGTCTCTCTGACATATGCAACTAATTTCTACATACGCGTTGAAATAGCGTATTAATTGTGTGATATCATAAATCTTGAAGCATATGCAATATCATAATTAACAATTACTATTAGGTGGTCAACAAACCACAATACCATATAGAAAGTCTGTATAATAACTAAAATATGCAAAGTCTATTTATAAAAACAAAAAAATTGTGTTACTGTCCTGCAATAACTAAATTTAAAAGTTTGTGTACCATCAAGACAAACACCATGAGAAAGATCAACTATATATCAAATTGATCTTTTCGGCAACATTAAATATCTCAAGGATATTAGCATATTCCATTCCTCGTGGAGTAGATTTGTATTTGTAATTAACCTCAGCTCAGCTGTGATATTTTCCTTATCCAACTGATTAACCGCCGGTTAATAAGGTACTTACCAGGACGAGCTGAGCTGGGGACAGATGAGGCCGCGTTTTTTCCTCCCCTCCCTTCCGTTTCTATTCTGTACTTTTGTAGGTAGTGGACGGTGAACACTTTTTTGTCATTCCATTGCATGGCGCGTTTTTTTTCTATATATATTTTCGAATCCAAATCGTGAAATCATAATCATAATGGGTGGAGATTAATTTGGATTCACGTTAACTGAAGGATTTGAAAATTTTAATCTGGTGCCATCTTTGGGTAGGTGTTACATAGATTAGATAGATTCATGACGAATCATTACTTTTAATTATTTAATTTTGTAATTAGGTTCCCGATCTGAATTCTATATGATCATGGATTCGAATGAAGGACTGGAACTAATGATTGTGAGGTGAATTCAAACAACTCACTGATACTGAGAATTGAATGACATAATGCACAAAATATACAAATTTATTGCCACAACTATGTAGATACTAGGCACTATTGGAAATAAGATTTCTCGTTCTTAATGAAATTTGATCATACGATGATTGAGTAGCACATTTGGGTAAAGACAGAAGTTGTTGCTTTGCTTCTAGGTTCGATGATTCTGGATCCCGACATTCTAGCTGTAATCAATATCAAGAAATTCATCGAAATTTACTAACTGAAGTTTTTGTGAGTGATTCGAATATCGTCTTATATTGTTCTCTTACAAATTACCTATATATAAAAAAGCCTACTAAACTTCCTATTTGCACATAAAATCACATCATGAGTTGTAAAAGATCTAAATACAAAACTTTTTGGTCATTAAAAAACACTAATAATATCATTGTCAAGATTGTTCCATCGTGAGTGATTCGAATATCGTCTTATATTGTTCTGTTACAAATTACCTATATATAAAAAAGCCTACTAAACTTCCTATTTGCACATAAAATCACATCATGAGTTGTAAAAGATCTAAATACAAAACTTTTTGGTCATTAAAAAACACTAATAATATCATTGTCAAGATTGTTCCATCTCAATGACTGAATTATTGAAAGAGCCTCAAATATAACGGTAATACTAAACTCTTCCACCGACACATCCCCCACTTTGCTGAATATAAGTGCATATATAATAAACTTGAAGTTTGTCTCTCCACAGGTATGTTATGTTATCACTCTTATTATTGTTATCATTATTAACCGGCTGGCTAGATGCTAATAACAAGCAGGAAATCATAGAACCGGAGGATCGGAGGGAATTAATGTTCAGTCGGCGGCGGCGGAAGCAATGAAAAGAAACATGGCGAGGCTGGTTTCTTTTGTTTGCTTTCGAGCTGTTTGCTGTTGGACAGTTGGAAGCTTATCAATCTCATGGGCTAAATTGCAATGTTGGTCACTAATCCCATTAATTTAGCTACAGGTTTATCATCGGATTTCTTCAATCTATTTAACTTTAGTATGACAATTTCCACTAATATATATATATGTAGCGATGTACAATGATATTTTTTAACGCATTTAATAAGTATACATGTATTAAACGAATTTTTACTACCTATACTTGTCATGTGTTTACGTCGGACTAAATCTCGAATTGGTAATGCTGTTATTAATTTCTAGGTAATAACTTATAAATAAATTTTATAGATATTTTTTTTGGTTTGGCACGCTAGCTAGCCAGGTTGTCAACGTCAGAAGTGATTTATTTAATTTTCGAGATAGAGACGAAATTAGGAGGTGATCTCTACCTGATAACTAGCTAATTAGGTTCCCATCCTTACACAAACTCATGCACCGATCACCCGTAACACGTTAATTTTAATATTAGTTAAGCAATCAACGTCGAGATTTATGTTTTTGTCTGATAATTGTTTTCGTCTTTCTATGGTCATTAATTATTATATATAATGCGAGTAATAACAAAGGACAATACAAACCCCAAATACGATCGACCAGCAAGCTACCAAAAAATCCCCTACCTACTCTCGAGTCCTCTGCGTGGAAATTGCGCCACCAACCAGTACTGCGATCATACATCGCATCAAACCGTTCATATTGTGAGTAGTAAGTTGTGTATGGTTACCAAAATCATGATTGTGGTTAGTAGTTAATCACTAACCACAACGGTTAACCCACAAAACTAACCACATTAGTCTCACAAACTCTTGATTGATCTTTAAATTCACCATACCAACAAAGTAACTCATTGCAAAATGAAAAGTTATTATACGTGAGGAGTGGGATTAATTTGCATTTTGTAAAGCAAAAACATTTCATCTCTTTTTTCGCTCCGACACGAAAGTCGATTAACGAACTTGAAAAAGGCAAAACCCCTACGCTTAGTAAGATATACAAAATTTCATCTCCATGAACAATACGACAGTATATAACTATAGTCTACTAGTGAATAACATATTCATTGGTGGCGGCCGCAGTTCCATGGCTGCAAATATGATTTTTTGCGGGTAACCACAACAAATTCGCACCAAACCGTAATGGATATAGCAATTATCCGCTAACCACTATATATATGGTGTGATTTGTGGTTAGCATAATCACAATTTTGTAGATGTGATTAACATAAAATATCGAGCGAATATAACCCAATCCGCACCAATTTTCATCTCTAGTTTCACTGATTCTTCAAGTTCCTAAATAATAATTTAATTAGTAGAAAAAACTCATTATGAGTTTGGAAAAAAACATACATCTTCCTAGAACCCAACGCCTTCAATACTGACATGTGTTCACTGTTTGTGATTTTGAAGCAAGTCTAGATTGAACTTCAAGACTGCAATTTCATTAGCTATGGATGAGAAGTAGTTTTAGTGACATTGAATCTCGATCAAATAACAAAACTCTAACCAGAGCTCATTGACGAGCCATCAAGCCGCGAAATCGAGAGACACAGAGAGTAACTGGAGGGCACCGTCAACATATAGGAAAGAAGTAGACATGCATTAAACAACTGAGAGAAACTCTCCACCGCAACGAAATTACTTGGCCGGCGGTGAATATATTTTATATGGGTGTGCGGGGCACATACATAAATTAAAGGGCCGGGCCGCAATTATATTGAAAGGGACCAGAATTAATTTGAGGCAAACCAGATCTATGGATTACTATATGATACTAACACATGTCGAGTTGTCGACCACACACTTTACCAAACACTTTATGATGATATTAATGAGCTGTGTATAACTACCTCTTAAATACATACCGATAAATAATAATTTTGAATTTGTGGGTTTTGTATAAAAATACTGAATACAGGTTGAGAAAACTATATAATTGTAACTTCGAGTATTTGCGTATTTCCCTCTTTGTCATTCGCCTATTCTTTAAAATGTATGGTTTTGCTGGTTCGAAGCGTTTGACGGAACCCGCGCCGAGTGTCTCCTCTAGCGTGATGGCTTTCTCGATCTTGACCTCCAGCTCTGTCGTCAGCGTGACATGTCTTTTTGCTAGCGCTCGCTTGAGCTCCACGTTAGTGGTGACGTCCATGAGGTGATGGGCGGCAGTCTCTGGGGTGAGGTCTCTCACGGCCATTGCCACCCTGGACCATCTGGCGTAGAATGCTCGCAAGCTTTCTCCGTCCTTCTGCTTGATATCTATTAGCGCTTTGATGTGAAGCGGCATTCTTTTCTGGGATGCGAACTTTGTGGTGAATAGGAGTATGAACTCCTCGAATGAACGGATGATCCCGTTTGGGAGACGGTTGTACCAATCGAGGCATATTCCAGAGAATGTTGATGGGAAGGTTCTGCATAGCGCCGCGTTGGAGTTAGTCTGGAGCTGCATTGTCAGGCAGAAGGTGCTGACGTGATCCTCTGGATCAGTCGTTCCATTGTAAGTTGGGAGGGTGGGTGGCGTTCCGCTTAAGTGCTCCGCCATTATTTCCGCGCTCAACGGTTGATGTAGGATTCTTCTGGGTGGGTTAGGGCGGAATTGCGGAGTCAGATGTTGCTCCAAGAAACTGAGGTCCGCCCTCCCTGGCGGTTCGATTCGTTGCGCTTCGGACGCGAACAACGCACCCTCCGCCTGTTGTGGTGGCGCTGCTGCGCCTGACGCCTCTCCTTGTTGTGGTGCGCCAGGCGCGGCACTTGGCGCTGTCGCGGCTTCTTTGCTCATCATGAGCGCGAGGACTTGGCTCATCTGCTTTTGCATGTCAGCTATGACGCTGTTTTGCTTCGCCACCAACTGCCTCATTTCCTTGGCTGTTAGCTCGGGCTCTTCTTCCTCAACGAGCACCGCGTTGAGGTTACTCCCTTCGGCGAACGCTCTCGGGGTTGTCATAGCCTTGATGGGTGTCACCTCGTCGGGAAAGTTGGAGTTGGGCTCTGCCATTGGTTGGATTTTTGTTGCTTTTTCTACTCAGCCCCACGGTGGGCGCCAATTGTTTGAACCTAACTGAGTGTAGGAGTGAGGTTCGGGGAAATGGGTTGAGAAGAATAAGCTATGAGAATATGTCGTGGATCCAAGAATAGGGAAGAGAAAGAAAGAAGTTGAGTGGAAAGTATGGTGACTTAGAGAGAGAAGTTGATAATCTTAGAGATAGAGTCAGAAAAATCCGATTCCCTCACCCACCGGAGTTAATGCCTTATTTATAGGCTACATGGTGGTGGGTGAGTTACATGGTGACCTGTCATAGTGACATGACTATTGACACGTTAGAAGACTAGGCCATATCCCTACCTAGGACAAGTACACTTAGCCTTTCATTATACCGAGGACCATGATGTGACTATCCGATAGGTGGGACACGACGCCGCTTCTCATTCTCGTTACTTTAGTCAATGCTGGACTCGGACTGCCCTCGGGCGCGCTGGCGCTGATGCGCCCATCTCTAGGTATTCGCGCTCGCCTATGCGCTTGCTCGCGCCAATGTTGGTGCGCCCGTCTCTTGGTGTCAGTATTTCTTTGGCGCGGCGGGATCCGAGTCACATGCCCAACATTTACATATATTCAGAAAAGCTAAAATGAGACGAAACGAACATGAGATTTTTTTTACGGTGTAAGATATTTCAGTAAAAAATCAATGTGGGAAAATTTATCAAAAGCAATTGGATTTCATCATCCACCAATTTTTATCTTTCTATGTCGTATTTACTTCAATTTGAATTATATATGAAATCTCGATTGGGTTAATTAAAACTATGTCTCACGATATTACTATGTCCGATGACGATGTTGTTGATGATGAATGGTGATAATTCTGGAGTAAGGGTCGCCCTCTCTCATCGTAAGATGAGTCCATTGAGCTTCGGGAGCTCACATTTCTCCCACATCAATATCAGCCTCTGCCACACCGTCGTTGATGAAGCAACATGCCTACTTCGTCTCCAAGGGTCTGCAAGTTAAAGTTCAAAGTACAGGGGCTAACTTATCGGAAGCTTTAAAGTAAAGGGACTTATTTGAATATTAATAATTATTTCTAACAATTGCCACACCCAAGCGAGTCATGAGAAAAACAAAGAAAGCAATAACGGTAAAGCGAGAAAAAATTTACGTGATATTTCCAATTGACGAAACTAGTTCAAGTGAGAGCTCAACTCTCCAGCTGATGTCTTATTGATTAAGTCTTAGTCATGGTCGTCGCCCGTTGGTCTTACATATAGTTTCTTACCCTTACTAGTTAGTTATCACTCTCCCTCTCGAGTCTCGACTAGGGTATAAAACAATCCGGACAAGAAAAGCACACAAGCATGGAACTCAATGGGCTGGCGGCAGAACTCGGTTTCTGCTGCGTTCTTGGGCCAAGACGACGTGGGCTGATAGCCCAAGTTCAATAAGTCAAGACTCGAGACACTTTTCCCCTGCCCCTGCTGCTCCTCCAATCTTGTCCAGATTTTGCACGGAGGTTAGGTTAGTAATAGTTACAGAGCGTTCCCCCAGCATCTGTTACGGGCTGTTTATCTTTGTAATTTCGTATCTGTGCCTTTGCCATCCTCGTTTATGTTTGTTCGCCCTTCTCCGCTCGCGCTTGAACTAGGTAGTTTTGGCTGGCAGGTCTGCATTTACAGACTTACGGTCGCGTATTGCCATGAAAGATTCAAACTTTTAAGTGTATTAGCCAGGAACGCGTTTTCTTTGGGGTTTACCCGGAGTGGACTAGGGATGTTCTTCTTGTGGTAGACATTTGTGTGTCTGTTCTTTCTTTGTGTTCCTCCAATGTGGCTCTGCTGGTGCGAGTGGCCTCAGTCATTGGGTTTGTTGCTTCTGGTTTGATTCATGTTTCACAGGGAGGGAGCGCGTAATAGACGAAAAGATCTCGCGTACCACTGCCATCAACCTCCTCCAAACCGCCTGTCAAATTTAAAATGTAAGGAGTGGGGCAAAACTCCCAGCTCCTCTCTCTGGCATTTCTTACCTTTATTGCCACCAAACATTAACTAGTTTCTCTTTGCAGGCCGACGTCTGAGAATTTGGTACCAATTCGTTTGGATA